ATCTCCGCCTCTGAACAAGGACAACTCATCAACGCTGGAACTGAAAACGAAGCCATCGCCGTCCGTGGACAATTCTCTTACATCGGTGCTGATGGTGTCACTTACACTGTTACCTATGTTGCCGATGAGAACGGTTTCCAACCACAAGGAGCTCATATCCCAAAAGATGACCACTAAACTATAGACTGCTATGTACACTGATTACGAAAATTAAATTATTTTAAAAATAATAATTACACGTTTTTTTTTATTAAACATTTTTAACAAGATTTCACAATAATACTTTCATAATAACAGTTAATGAAAATGTGAGTAATGATGAGTAATGCAAATTACGCTTATTACTTCAGAAAATGTCAAAACTTTTATATCTGCAGTGCACCTCGTTAATTTTGAACAAATAGATGAAGTAGGCAATTTAAATGTATCGAAAGTAAATTCTTGTCTATAATCATAATCATTTCTTCATCTTCATATAATTTGCAATAATAGTATTTCCTTACAAGAAAATAATAAGAATTTTTGAAGAAAATTTTGTTATTCTACAGGTAACAAAAATTTAAAAAAATAATTAACTTAAAAATTAATGAATATTAGTTCGATCAAAGTAAATTCTATAAAAAATGATATTTCTTTAAAAGAAAGAGAAGTAAGATTTTTTTTTAAATAACTTAAATAAGAATAATGATGTTTTACGACTGAAAATTAGGTTGAAAGGAAGCCGAAATGAAGTGTTCTCCATAACAAATCCCCGAATTTATTGCCGGAGACAGGATAAATGCGTGTCACGCGTTCATATGTCTCATTGTGATTTGATAAATCATGGATCCAGCTGTGGGGGCTTTCGCTTTTTCCGTTTTCGCTTTCCGCGCTGCGTGAGTGATGAATGCACGAAAGCGAGTTTCGGGAATCCGGAGCCGTCGTCCGTGCCTCCTTTAACCCGGATTCCAAGAGAATCCGGTGTGTAAATAAACGTGGCATGTTCGGATCGTCCCATCAAGATGCGCGATCGAAACTAACCATCACGACGTTGCTATTTGGAAAAGTTCATTAAGAGCATTACACGGATTCCGGGCTGCTCGAAAAATTCGAAAAACAAGAATAAATCGGATTCCCCGCCATTATCTTGTCTACATTAATTTTTAGTTCGATTATGCAATCTATGTGTTAGGATGAGCCCGAGCGAATAATATTGGATATTTCGGTCTCCTGCAGTATTTATTACCTTCGAAAAATATGTTTAGAAAAAAAAAATATTCAGATATAAATAATTGATAGGTGAGAGTGTTGGTAAAAGCAGAAGTGTATTTGATGCAAATTACATAATGCGGACCGGTAATGTCAGGAGCTCTGGAAGAACAAAACGCTGTTTGCATTGTGAGAGAGATGTCTTTTAATTATCATTGGCAATATGTACATAAGTGTGTCACATAAAGAATGAGAAGTGTGTGTATGTGTTGATGTGCTGTGTTGTGTTGGATTCCATTCGGCGTCGGCTCCGGAGCTGCCGCAGTTGCGGCAGGCGGCTGAGGGAAAGGCAGAAGATGAGTTTTGACCTATTACCTCACACGCGAAAGGTCATTTGACACAACGCAGAATCTCTTTGAACTATAGGCCAAAGTTAAAACAGCTATGACCCAAAAGTGACTATTTTCACTAAACGCAGTCCATCTACTCCCAATGGGAGTAATGGGCCTATTTCCCTACGACAAGGTTCGATCGTAATTAAGACACTTGTCTGGGCGATGGTAGAAGGAACGGTTGGGCGCGATAGGATCCGAGCTTACTTACCTATGTAATTTAATAAATGATCGGCTCTGGCATTCTAAAAAGTAAACAGTGCACGTACAGTTATGCAGGCTGACATTTTGTGTGGCTGCCTCTGCCGCCCCTGGCAAGGACACTCTCATCTCCTGACCACGAACACATTTTACTATTTCTCGTTTCCAGTGTGCACTCCTCTCGCCAACATCTCCCGGATTATCCACTCAAGGATCTGCACATAAATTCTGATCGGACTATGTAACATTACTTTGCTCGCATGTTAATCCAATCAAATTGCTACTGTCCTCTCTTCTTGATCTAAATCAGTACCACAATTGAACAAATATCAAATGTATAAATTTACTTACCCTTAAAGTTTTAACCCTACGTTCACATTCTCAAATTACATAAATAATGATATAAACAAAAATGATATGTCAATGGATGATTTTTGTTACTAAACAAATTATGTTTTTATTTTGTTTTACGTAATTTTATTCCTAAAGAAATATAAGAGCAGATATCGAGTTTTTAAAGACTTTTATTCAAACTTATAAATATTTACATTTGAAATTATATTTGTTCCAATAATATTTTACTTAATCTCAGTTCCTCATTTGAATGTGTAGAAGTACATCAAGTACAAATAATTATTTATAAATTCCCATGAAATAGAAAAACAAATAAACCTTACTATTAACCTTTTCACGTTAATTTAAACGCAGAAATGTTAAATTTGAATTATTTTTTCTAATATCAATAAGTCTATTCACTTATTTTCTTAATGTAATCAGTAAAACATCAAGTAATAATAATTTGATAAATATATATATTTAAAAAGTAAATTTGCTTAATGAAAAAACCTATTATTACAATTAAATTTAAATTAAAATATGCTTTAGTACTTCACTATTGAAATAATAGAAACTAAGAACAAATTAAGCGCAAGAAAAAAAGATGCTCACATGTTTAAATCTGAATGTTAATTTATTTACCAATCACTTAAACAAAACTTATATGTCAAGTTAAATACTGCATTTGACCAGAGGCGAGAGGTGATCTTTCAACGCTAAAGGTATTATCTTTCATCTGCAATTATTATTATTGGTTGCGTCAATTGTCCGAATAATAATTTCCAAACATTTGCAATTTATCTATGAATGCCATTTATCTTATTATTTTTTTTATTATTTCTAAACTTTGCAGAAATTACAACTTTTACTAATATTAATTATGATTTATAATTGATTTCGTTTTTGCACTCTGACATAAATTTAAAGACAGAATTTCATCAATAATTATAGTTTATAAAAACTACAATACTTTCATTATGTTTGATAATCATTAAGTTAATCTTTTTTATTTTAAGTCTGTATATTTTTCCTTCTCTATGGTCAATATAAAAGTGAAAATAAATTTGAAAGAGTAAATTATTATAGGCAACCCAACAATCTGTTATTTCTCGAGACTTTATATTTAGATCATCTAAATTAGTTTTGATGTGTTTAAAACACATAATATTACTTTACCATAATATTATTTATTACCATCTACAATATATTTCTTAATTTTTAATATTTGTGTAATTAAAGTAAATTAGTGATCCAATATTATACAGATTTTGGTTCTAATAGGTGTTATGTATTTAGATAAAAATGTCAGTTATAATTGACATTATATAAACGATATTAAACTATTTTTTTCAAATTTTATTATAAGCATCAGTTACTAAAAAAACGCACTAACTTTATTAATTTTACATTCAATTTCTCAGTATTTTTTTCATATATTATTAGTTAACAATATGAAATTAAAAATTAAGTATAATATTCTAATAATATATAAGTTATATGATTTTTGAACAAGTAAATAATTAACTATTTTATGTAACCAATATTTAAATGGATTTAATAAATGTTCCTATAATAATGTGAGACCTATTTAAAAATCGTTAGGAATTCAATTTGGATCTCCAAGTATTTATTTAACCTGAGTTTTATTATATTTCTAATACAATTATTTAACATTTATATTGTATTTTTAAATATTATGTAAATATTACAAATAATTCCCAATGTGAAGTTGATATCATATTGTTAAATTCCACTTGAATTGTTTTAACTATTTATATAATTCACAATAAGAAGATTAGTCTAAATTGTTCTAAACTCAATAAAATATATACATAAATCTGCATCCTTTGGCAAGTTCGGTCAAGTATTCTTCGTCTTTGTTAGCTGGAGTATAGGACGGCGCATCTTCCGGCATTAAATCGATGTAACCAGCTTTAACAGCCAATTTCTGAGATGCAATTGATGTGAATAAAGTGACGCTTATATTGATGCCACGCGCTTTGCAAAGTGGTTCCCTGCAATTGTAAAACATGTACATCCTTCTTAGCAAACAAAAAAAGGGAATATTGCAACATCCTTTTTAGCAAACAAAATAAAAGGGAATATTTTCGTTACCTGGCCTTGAGTATCTGCAAACCAATGCTCTCGCCTCTGTACTCTGGTAATACAAAAAGCCCAACAGCAGACAAATAATCTTTGATGTTCAATTTTTCCATCTGCTGCTTATAACCCGGAATATATTTATCTTCGTATTCTAAAAACAACTTCACCTTCTCGTTGCTGCACTGTGAAAGCATTCGACATTAGAATAGAAAGATTTTTATAATTCCAGACTTAAATACTTCGAAATTACGATCGTTAGGCATCCGGCGACTGGTGCAGTTGAATCCAACCAGTTTTTGAGTCCCATCGTTATCTTTGGTAAAGCATATTAAACCGTACTTTTGACGTAATGTATCCAAATACAGCTCCTTCATTTCAGCCAAGGCCTCTTCATCTTCGGTTATTTCTGCGGATTAGTATTATATAATTATGATTATTTGGTTGCATATATTAATCGATCGATCTATTAAATATGATTATGATACGTACTCAAGAATTTACACAGCGGCTCGTCTGACACGAATCCTTCGAAGAGGACTTTAATAACGGCATCGAAATGCTCTTCCGTTAAATCCTGCACCCAATACTTGCGTTTGAAGCCATCACGTTCACGTCCTTCGAATTCCCTCCAGATATTTGGGTATTTCCCTCCGCATGGCCTGTCCGTAGTCATTATAGCTTCGGTACTGAATAATAGAACCTTGCGTGACTAATTTGAACATTCCGCTATCTAAATCTAAGATTTGGGAAAATTATAACGTGCAATCTATTAATACTAACAGATTCATTTATACTGTTATTTATTTATTTATTTACTTTTATCTACGACCAAGTGTAAAATAATATAAAATAGTTAAAACGTATCACTGTGTAAATGTTATTATCATTGTTAATTTAAGAAACGAGAGTACATAAATCCTTGAACAAATCATCTATAGAAACGGTTCAGTGTAAATAATCCAGTTTAGATTAAATTCGTGATAATAACGAGTGAAGCGCTGTTTGTTATTATTAGTAATTAAAACAAAACTGTTACAAGTGTTTACATGGAGATGGAATACCCTAACATCGAACGACCAGAGGGTTCAGTTTATCCCAAAATCTATAAAGAGTTTGAAGGGAAGTTGAGAGACGACGGACGCCGCAAATTTTGGATACAGGATCTCACTGAAGAATATTTCGATGAAGTCATCAAAGGATGCATTGAAGGCTTCTCCGTTGAAGAACCTTTATGCAAATGCACAAGTACATAATTTTTAATTTAATATATATTTCATAAAATAAGTTAATAAGTTAATGAACTTTTGATTTCATAGAAAGTGACGAAGACGAGGATGAAGGTGATAGTGAATGGAACAAATTATGGATGTCAGCGCTTAAAGAGAAACTAAGTTTGATCTGTCTAACAAAGAACGAAGAAGGTCAAACGAAAATCGCCGGATTCAATTGTCTCGTTACATTTCACAAAGACGAAATTTTCGAGGTGATTCCTTTTTAATATTACATTTTGTAGTAATACAATTCAACAAGTCATGAATGTAAAAAAAATGTAACTCGTTGATTCATTGCGAAATTTTACTAACGCTCACAGTGAAATATTTAGGTATGACGAGTCACTGTTATTATATTTCATGTCGAGTGATAAGAAATTTAGTTCTTATTAAATTATAGTCATTGTGAAACGTTATATCATAATATAGATATGTGAATGTAATCAATTATTTCAATTATACACATTTATTTTGAAAATTTACATTAAGGACAATAAAATAACAATATTACTATATAATAATATTCATGTTCTTCAATATTTTAGCCGAAAAGCGAAAATAGTAGAAACATGTTCGGAATGTTCCAAAATGTAAGCGACCAAAGGAATGCTTTCGAAGAGTTCAAATTGGATATGTATTTATCGGCGATGGGACTGTACGTGTATCCAGAATTCAGAGGCGAAAGAATCGGGCAATTCTTGTTGGACGCAAGGTTTAGTACTTTTCGTAACAACTCTGCTAAATCTTAATGTTTTTATTTTATTAACATTTCAGGAAAGATATAGGGAAATTGTTGGGATTCAAAGCTAGTTTAACATTCTTCACTTCAACTGTATCTCAAAAACTAGCTTATCGTGTAGGATTCAAAGATTATGTTACGGTGCCGTACGTAGAGTTACTCGAAACCCACAAAGATTTTCTTTTACCATCCATTCTAGACCACAGCAAAGAACTTAAATACATGTACATGCTATATTAAATGTATGAAGTTATTCAATGTTATCAATATAGTTTAGTTTTTTTTTCATTGGGGTTAATATATTAGAAAATAGTTTTCAAAGGTCAAATTATAGTTCAGAATTTAATATTAAGCATCGCAAAATAATAATTTACATGATACTGCACTACGTGATACATCCCATAAAATGCTATTTAAAAAAAAATGAATATACAATTGTAAACATGGTTTACGTGATATTTATTTTTCATACAAATTTTAAAATTTACCGTTTAGATATTTAATACAGCTCGTTCAAACATTCTAATATTAGTCATAAATAATTAATGTAACTAATACATTCATACTGTTTGATATATATTTTGCACTAAACATATTTATTATTCAAAATAAATTTCTACTAACATTAGTTAATTAAAACTTTGTATTTCGATGATGATAACTCAGTTATTATTTTTCTAAACCAAATACAGATAATAATATATAGATAAGATAATCGCGTTGCAATGTTTGTTGCATACTTTTACGTAAAAAAACATGCAACATAAACAACATTTTGTAATCGATCAATCGGATTAACGAAATTTGCTATTGAATTTCACACAACCCATCATGCATTAGTGTTGTTGAAGTTGTATTTAATATTATCTAATTTAAATTTATCATGTAGTTAATTCATTTAGTATAAAATATTGTTATTTAAATATCATTATCATTGTAGTTTTAAACATGTATTGTATATTAAAAGTAGCAAATGTTAATGGTTTTATTAAAAACAAATATTTATATTTACTTATAGCTAATATTTAGGAAAATTTGAAAAAATAAAGTGTTTAAGTAAATATAAATAAAGGGAAGTAAATAAATGCTCCGTAATTGGATGATTTTTACTTACAATGGAGATGAGTGGAAATGCTATGGACGTATTTCTGCATCGAATTGAAAGGAACCTTAATTTGAATTATCTAATCATATATACAGCCCGAGTAATGATTAAATTGCCTTTTCTCTATTTTTGATTTAATATTCTCCGTTCATGTGTCTGTATGTGTGCGTCCATGAAATGGATAAAATGCGCGTTGCGGTCCCTCTGCTAGCCAGTCCAAATTGTCCTAATCGAGATGGAGTATCAAACTATTCAACGTCCCGAAGGTTCTGAATACCCGAAGATCTATAAAGAGTTCGAAGGGAAACTGTTAAAAGATGGCAAACGCCGGAAATACTGGATCCAGGATCTCACCGAGGAATACTTTGAGGAAGTCGTCAAGGGTTACACAGAAGGATTCATGTATGACGAACCTCTAAACAAATATTCAAGTACGCACTTTTATAATTTCACGTAGTGGCACATCAAAGATGAAAAACGCTTCGATTTAAAATGTTCTTTTCTATGATCATCTAACGTTCTTCATTCCTGTATGCTCCTGATTTTTTTCAGAATGCGCCAACGATCCAGCTTGCGTCGCCGAATGGGCCAAATTCTGGATGTCCTTCCTGAAAGAGAAAATCAGTTTGATCTGTTTGACCAAAGACGATGATGGCAAAATAAGAATAGCCGGATACAACTGCCTTCACGCAGCCCAAAAAAAGGAAGAAATGAAAGTAAGATTCATTCAATTTGATTTATTTCAAATACGCATTTTACACACGCTTATTTATACATGCGGTTATGCCAATCATGCTTTGTGATATAGCATGATATAAAAACAAATACAAGTTTTTTTTTCTGGTCGGTAGTTCCTGTTTATTTTTTTTTTCAGAAATTTTCTGTATCATTTGCATGCAATATGCTGGGTTACTATGTTTCTCAATATTCTTCCAACATTTTCTCCTCCTCGATTTATTTAATCTTTACGTCAATAATTAGAAAATGCAACAACAACATCAAAAATGTAACTAGTTTTATAATTTCGCAAGTCACGGTATTCGCATGTCGAATGATGATAAATCGGATCATACGATAAGACACAACTCAAATTCACGAAATATTGATAAATATACACAACAGTAGATTTAAAAACTGTCAGTCTAATTTATTAATAACATGCTATATAGCTAGTAACATTAGTTAAATGGCATATAGCAGGAGTTCCCAACCTTTTTGCACCCAAAAGTACATTGTAGAATACCGGTCGGGCGGCACTTAAAACGGTCGGCGGGCGCCATGGTACCCGCGGGCATATGGTTGGGGACCCCTGGCATATATAGTGTACACAAATCTAAAATCATACGTAAATGGAAGCGTTAATAACGTCCGTTGAATAAAATTAACAATAATTACCTGATACAACAACGGAAAATTCAAATGATTGTTTGTATTTCTAATCAATATTCCACAATACGGTGTACGTAGTATACTTTTTCTTTATAATGTATTATTTAACACAAAATCAATGATAAGGGACGAGTAAACAGAAATGTAAATTTCGTTTATGCAACAGATTAATAGTTCACATTTGTTTTCATTTTCAGGCAGAATCCGAAGCAGTGAGGAAAGTCTTGAAAGTCATGCAATATGTCTGCGATCAAAGGGACGCTTTTGAAGAATTCAAGATGGATAAGTATTTGTCCGCAATGGGGCTTTACGTGCATCCCGAATTCAGAGGCGAAGGTCTTGGACAAATTATTTTGGACACAAGGTATACGTCCGCTAAGTACATAATACATGTATACATTTTATATTGTTGATGTTTTAGACAAGATTTGGGTAAACTTCTGGGCTTCAAAGCCAGTCTCACTGCTTACACTTCGTGCATATCCCAGAAGCAAGCCTACAGAGCCGGATTCAAAGATTACGTGACTATTTCATACGCAGATTTGGCTAAAGTTGACAAAGATTTTCTCTTCCCCGGCATAGAAGAGCACACCAAAGATTTCAAGTATATGTACATGCTATATTAATTATAATTTAGATTATTTTGTAAATAAGTTAATTTTATTCAAGTATTGTTCGTTATTTTATGTTCATAAATAATAATAAATATGATTTTACTGTTATATTATAATTATGTCTACCCATATCTAACAAAGCGCCCAAAGCGTGATGTAAGTCCATTTATTTGCGAAAAATCGATTTTATTTTATTTTATCATGTATTGTTAAAAAATATTGATTAATTTTACTAATTACTATTTACTATTACTATTCAACCCTATAAAATACAATTTACGTTATGCAACATAATGTAAATTTGTTATTGAATTTCACACACGCTAGCATACACAGGTGACGTTGAAGTTGTTTTTAATATTATCTAATTTAAATTTTTCATGCAGTTAATTCCTAATTAATTAATTAATTAATTTAGCTTAAAATATTGTTATTGTGGAATAGGAAATAAATAAGTATTTTAGATAGCAAAAGATTTATTAAAGAAGTTAATGAATACTCCGTAATTGAGATGATTTATACTCTCTGAAAATAAAAGCTGCGACGATGGAGACGAGAGGACGTATTTTTAGCACTTTAGAACCTTAATTTGAGTTATCTAATCATACATATACGGGATAATTATTGTAAATTTGCCTTTTCTCTATTTTTTGTTTAATATTCTCCGTTCGCGTGTATGTGTGCATGTGTGCGTCCATGGGATGGATAAAATGCGCGTTGCAGTCACTTTGCTAGTCAGTCCAAATTGTCCCAATCGAGATGGAGTTCCAAACTATTCAACGTCCCGCAGGCTCCGAATACCCGAAGATCTATAAAGAGTTCGAAGGGAAGCTGTTAAAGGATGGCAAACGCCGGAAATACTGGATCCAGGATCTCACCGAGGAGTACTTTGAGGAAGTCGTCAAGGGTTACACCGAAGGATTCTTATATGACGAACCTATGTGCAAATATTCAAGTACGCTATTTTAAAGATTCACATAGACCAAAAACGCTTCAATTTAAAATTTTGATTAAATGTTCTTTTCTATTATCATGCTATGCTCATGACTTTTTCAGAATACGACAAAGATCCAGCTTGCCTCGCCGAATGGACCAAATTCTGGATGTCCTTCCTGAAAGAAAAAATCAGTTTGATCTGTTTGACCAAAGACGATGAGGGCAAAACAAGAATAGCCGGATACAACTGCCTTCACGCAGCACAAAAAAATGAAGAAATTAAAGTAAGATTCATTCATTTTGATTTATTTCAAATACGCATTTTATACACACGGTTGTGACAATCAAGCTCTGTGATATGCCATGATATAAAAACAAATTCAAAGAAGATGTCACTTGTTTTTTTTTTCTGGTCGGTAGTTCCTGTTTAATATATTTTTTCCATAAATTCTCTAAATCATTAGAGTAGTGTTACGACAATTTAAGCAATCATTAACGATAAAAAAAATCGCATTTATTTTCTTGTTGTTTTGCGTATAAATATTTGAGAAACTGAATAACATTACATAACATGTAATTTTGCGTGCTAAATGCTGGATTGCTATGTTTTTGATCTTTACATCATTAACTAGAAATTGCAACAAGAACATAAAAATGTGTAACTAGTTTCATAATTTTGCAAGTCACTGTATTCGCATGTCGAGTGATGATAAATCGCATCATACGATAAGACACTACTTAAATTCAGGAAATATTGCTAGATAAATATATTCATTTTTCGCAATAGATTTAAAAAAAATAATTCGTCAGTAAAATACGTTAGTAATTACATGCTATGAAACTAGTAACATTAGTTAATTTAAATGACATATAGAGTACTTATGGCGTAGCTTGATCGATATGACACGTGACGACATCGGTTTACACAAATCAAAAATCATATTTAATTGGAAGCCTTGATAACATCCGCTGAATATAATTAACAACAATTACATAATACAATAACGGGAAATTCAAATGATTGTTTGTACTTCTAATAAAATAGTGTAACTTCTATATCTGTATTATAGAATTTTATTTGCACATGCACGAAATCAATGATAAGGAACGAGTAAACAGAAATTTAAATTTCGTTTATGCAACAGATTAATAGTTCACATTTGTTTGTGATTTTCAGGCAGAATCCGAAGCAGTGAAGAAGTTCTTAAAAATCTTGCATTATGTCTGCGATCAGAGGGACGCTTTCGAAGAATTCAAGATAGATAAGTACTTGTACGGAATGGGGCTTTACGTGCTTCCCGAATTCAGAGGTGAAGGTCTTGGACAAGTTATTTTGGACACAAGGTATACATCCGCCACAATACAATACATGGATATATTTTGTTGTTGATGTTTTAGACAAGATTTGGGTAAGCTTCTTGGTTTCAAAGCCAGTCTGACTGCTTATACTTCGTGCATATCCCAGAAGCAAGCCTACAGAGCCGGATTTAAAGATTACGTGACTATTTCATACGCTGATTTGGCCAAAGTCGACAAAGATTTTCACTTCCCCGGCATAGAAGAGCACACCAAAGATTTCAAGAATATGTATATGCTATATTAATTATCATTTTATGATGCTAGATTATTTTGTAAATAAGTTAATTCTGTTGAAATATTGTTTATTATGTTATGTTAAAAATAATAATAAATATGATTTTTCTGTAATATTATCAAGTATATATTACTTAACTAGTTAAAATATATGATTTAATCAAATACAGATTAAATCGACAATGATTATGAAATCTATATCAAATATCGTAACATTCATAATCGTTTAATGAGAAGAACATTTAATAAAAGTTGTTAATAATAATCAGTTTGTTTTGTTTTAATCATTTATTGTTGTTTTGATTAAATGTATTAATTACTATTTACAACAATTAGAGATTGACGTAAAAAATAAGTAAGTACTTTTGTCGATGTATCACCGTACAAAATACTACTCAATGGAAAAAGTATTTAGACAACATATTATTTGTTCTAAGCATTTCTTGATGTAAATTTACGCGAATCCAAGAGACATTAGCGAAATTTTCTTTCTTAATAATCAACAAAGGATTTTCAACTATGGTTCTTTCAGATTTATTTTCGTTAACTACCGTATAGATAGTAAAATTATTCATAAGTAATAAATGCAACTAATACAATTTTAGGTATTTAACAGCTTGATATATTTTTTGCACTAAACATATTTGTTATTCAAATTAAATATCTAATAATATTAGTTTGATAGAATTAATTCCTAATTCATTCATTCATTCATTTTGTATAAAATATTGTTATTGTGTTGTAAAATATTTAAATATCGTTGATATCTGTGAAATATTAAGGAGTTCTTGGTCCTAAATGGACCAATAAAAATTGTTACTATAGTCGCCTTTTTCACGAAAATCCGATACGAAAGTTCGTTGGTTCGATCCTCAAAAACCAACAAAATTTGAGGCCGATAAAGCCGAAAAGGTGTAGAAATATTTTGAATTCATTATATGCAAAATGATGATGGTTAGGTAGTAAATATAGAATAAATAAATAGAAAGATTTTTAAGTGAAGTAAATAAATGTACTTAATTGAGATGATTATATATAGCAGGAGTAATGATTAAATTGCCTTTTCTCTATTTTTTATTTAATATTCTCCGTTCCGTGTGTGCGTGTATGTGTGCGTTCATGGAATGGATAAAATGCGCGTTGCGGTCACTCTACAAGTCAGTCCAAATTGTCGTAATCAAGATGGAGTTTGAAACTATCCAACGTCCCGCAGGTTCCGAATACCCGAAGATCTATAAAGAGTTCGAAGGGAAGCTGTTAAAGGATGGCAAACGCCAGAAATACTGGATCCAGGATCTCAACGAGGAATACTTTGAGGAAGTCGTCAAGAGTCACATCGAAGGTTTCATTTAGGATGAACCATGAAGAAATATTCAAGTACGCACTTTTAAATTTGCGAGAAAGATCCAGCTTGCTTCGCCGAATGGGCCAAATTATTGATGTCTTTCATGAAAGAAAAAGTCAGTTTGATCTGTTTGACTAAAGACGATGAGGGCAACTGCCATCACGTAACACATAAAAAAGAAGAAATTAAAGTAAGATTAATGACTTATTTCAAATATGCATTTTATACACGCTTATTTAAACACGCGATATTGACAATCATGTTTTATGATATGGCATGATATAAACACAAACATGTCAGTTTTCTGTTCGGTAGTTCCTGTATCATTTTGTTTCAAAAATTCTCTGAACCATTAGAATGTTAGTGTTACAACAATGCAAGCAATCATTAACGATAAGAGTTTTTTTTTGCATTTAGTTTCTTGTTATTTTGAGAAACTGAATGCTTGATTATTACATAACATGCAATTTTGCATGCTAAATGCTGGGTTGCTATGTTTCTCAATAGTAACCGAACATTTTCTCCTCCTCGATTTATTAGTTCTTTACGTCATTAAATATAAATTGTACACAAAACTAAAATCATACTTAAATGGAAGCCTTAATAACAAAATCTGTTGAATAAAATTAACAATATTTATCTGATACAACAACGAAAAATTCAAATGATTGTTTGTATTTCTAATCAATTTTCAACAATATTATGCAAATAGTGAACTTCTTTTTCTATAATGTGTTATTTAATATTATTTGCACATACACAAAATCAATGATAAGGAACGAGTAAACAAAAATTTATTAATAGTTCACATTTGTTTTTGATTTTCAGGCAGACTCTGAAGCAGTGAAGAAGTTCTTAAAACTCATGCAATATGTCTGCGATCAGAGGGACATTTAAGATAGATAGGTACTTATACGGACAAGATATTTTGGACACAAGGTATACGTCCGCGAAGTACACAATACATATACACAATATATTTTTTGTTGATGGTTTAGAGAAGATTTAGGTAAACTCCTTAGGTTTAAAGCCAATCTGACTGCTTACATTTCGTGTATATCCCAGAAGCAAGTTGGCAAGCTGATTTGGTCAAAGTCGACAAAGAGCACACTAAATATTTCAAGAATATGTACAAGCTATATTAATTATCATTTGAGTTTGTTAATAATTATTATTAACAAAATTATTTAAAATATTGTTGTTGTGTTGCAAACTACTTAATTAACATTAAGTAGTTTCTTGGTCATAAATGGACCAATAAAAACGAATAAATAAATTAGTAGATTAAAAACTAAAACTAAATAGATTAAAAATATTTTGAATTCAGTATTTTAGATAGCAAATGTTAATGGTAGTAAATATAGAATAAGTAAATAGAAAGATTTATTGAGAAAACTAAATAAATGCTCCGTAATTGAGATGATTTTTACTTTCTGCGACGATGGAGATGAGTGGAAATGCTATGGACGTATTTCTGCATCGAATTGAAAGGAACCTTAATTTGAGTTATCTAATCATACATATAGCCCGAGTAATGATTAAATTGCCTTTTCTCTATTTTTTATTTAATATTCTCCGTTCGTGTGTGTGCGTCTATGTGTGCGTCCATGGAATGATAAAATGCGCGTTGCGGTCACTCTGCTAGTCAGTCCAAATTGTCCCAATCACGATGGAGAACCAAACTATCCAACGTCCCGCAGGTTGTGAATACCCAAAGATCTACAGAGAGTTCGAAGGGAAGCTGTTAAAGGATGGCAAACGCCGGAAATACTGGATCCAGGATCTCACCGAGGAATACTTTGAGGAAGTCGTCAAGGGTTACACCGAAGGATTCATGCTTGACGAACCTCTATGCAAATACTCAAGTACGCTCTTTTAAAATTTCGTAACTACATCTAAGATCCTAAACGAAATATATATTAAATGTACTTTTCTATGATTATACTTATTCGTGATTTTTTTCAGAATGCGCCAACGATCCAGCTTGCGTCGCCGAATGGGCCAAATTCTGGACGTTCTTCCTGAACGAGAAAATAAGTTTGATCTGTTTGACCAAAGACGATGAGGGTAAAACTAGAATAGCCGGATACAACTGTCTTCATGTAGCTCACAATGTGGAAGAACACGAAGTAAGATTCATTAAATTTTATTTATTTCAAATACGCTTTATGTAAACGCATGTATTTATAAACGCGATTACGACAGTCAGCATAATATAAAAACAAATACAAACGAGATGTCAGTTTTTATCTGGTCGGTAGTTCCTGTTAAATTTTTATTTTTCAACATCTCTGAATCATTACAGTTTCGACAATTATGTAAGCAATCATTAACGATAAGAATTTGCTTCGTAATATAATTACGTTATGCTAAAACATTAATAATAATTTCACATAAAAATAATTTCACATAAACATTCCATTCGTAAAAAAAAAACTACAAACATCAGCATTTGATTTTCAACTTATGCTGGAATTAGATATAATTACATTAATTATCGGAAACCGCACTAAATCAATATAATTTAATTATGAGAATACTGAAATAAGAAATCAATCTTGACTCGAGAATCGTCATGGCTTCTGCGAATTTAACGTTTTGTGGTCTGTAATCTCAATACACACATTTTCTTTAACAGTGTGCCATTAAAATACTGCGCAGTGATTACATAACCATTGCTTTGTAACATTTTCACCTGTTTTTCCTAAAAGTAAATATTTGTTACAATTTAGGTATTTTTAATATTTCTAAACTAATAATTTTCATTAATTAGAAATTTCATAATATATTCGCATGTCGAGTAATGATAAATCGCTTCATACGATAAATCAATACTCAAATAAACGAAATATTAGTAGATAAATATATTAATTTTTCGCAATCATCAATTTGAAGAAGATAATTCGTCAGCTAACTACGTCAGTAATTATAGCTACTAACATTCGTTTATTTAATGGCAATCTCTATATAAGTAATAGATTATTGTACTTATGGCGTAGCTAGATCGGGATGAATAGTTGGACACGTGCCGACAACGGTGTACACAAATCGAAAATAATGCTTAAATGGAAGCCTTGATAACAACGTCCGCTGACTAAAATTAAAAATAATTACCTGATACAACAACAGAAAATTAAAATGATTGTTTGTATTTCTAATCAATATTCAACCATGCGATGCAAATAGTGTAACTTCTGTTTCTGTAATGTATTATTTAATATTATTTGTACTTGCACGAAATTGAAGATAAAAACGAGTAAACAGAAATATAAATTTCGTTTACGTAACTGATTTATAGTTTAGATTTCTTTTGGAATTTTCAGGCAGAAACGGAAGGAGCGAGGAAGGTCTTGAAAGTCTTGCAATATGTCTGCGATCAGAGGAACGCTTTTGAAGAATTCAAGATGGATAAGTATTTGTCCGCAATGGGGCTTTACGTGCTTCCCGAATTCAGAGGCGAAGGTCTTGGACAAGTTATTTTGGACACAAGGTATACGTCTGCAAGTTGTGTATACATGAATACATTTTGTTGTTGATATTTTAGGCAAGATTTGGGTAAACTCCTTGGCTTCAAAGCTAGTCTGACTGCTTACACTTCGTTCATATCTCAGAAGCAAGCATATAGAGCCGGATTCAAAGAATACGTGACCATTTCATACGCTGATTTGGCCAAAGTCGACAAAGATTTTCTCTTCCCCGGCATCGAAGAGCACACCAAAGATTTCAAGTATATGTACATGTTGTATTAATTATTATATTATGATGCTAGGTTATTTTGTAAATAAGTTAATTCTGTTCAAATATTGTTTTTATGTTATGTTAAAAAATAATAATAAATATGATCTTACTGTTGTTATATTATAAGCGAGCAATTCCAGAATATTAAATAACTATCTAAAATTTAATCGAATGCGATCAATTAACTGAGCTATTATTTGACTCAATCTATTAATTCCATATTCAATTTGAAATCTATATCAAAATACCGTAACCTTCATAATGGTTTAATATCAAAAACATTTTTATAATTTATTGTTGAAAAATGATTGATTCAATTTACTAATTAATATTTACATCGCCATTCGGTGCAAAATGATTGAAGAACTTTACTAAACATATTTATTAATCGAATTAAATATCTAATAAAATTAGATAGAAAAAAACTTTTTATCTCTATGATGATAGATTAATAATTTTTCTAAACCAAATACATATAATAATATAGAGATAAAATAATTGCGCTGCAATGCTTGTATGTATACTTTTACGTTAAACAATATGCAACATAAACAACAGTTTTACTGAGACTGGCTTAATTGTGTCAGTAAGACACAAGCTAAGTGTAGTGGGGGAAGCAGCGGATGCCTTCCCATTGAAGAAGAAGAAACAAAAGTTTATTGTGTATTTAAATATCATTATTCTTGTTAAATAATAATTAGCTTTTGCTCCTAAATAAGCCAATAAAACTTGTTAAATAAATAAATGGTTTTAAAAATGAATTGTATATTAAAAATATTTTGAATTCAGTAGGTAGCAACTGTTAATGATAAGGTAGTAAATATAAAAGAAGTAAATAGAAAGATTTATTAAGTGAAGTAAATAAATACTCCGTAATTGAGATAAGTTTTACTCTCTGAAAATATAAACTGCGACGGTGGAGATGAGTGGAAATGCTCTGGACGTATTTCTAGCATCGAATTGAATTATCTAATCATAGTTAAAGCCCGAGTAATATTATTTTCTTTATATTTTTTTATTAATATTCTCCGTTCGTGTGTTTGCATGTGTGCGTCTCTGCATAAAATGCGCGTTGCGGTCACTCTGCTAGCTAGTCCAAATTGGTCCAATCGAGATGGAGCACCAAACTATACAACGTCCCGCAGGTACTGAATACCCGAAGATCTACAAAGAATTCGAAGGGAAACTGTTAAGGAATGGCAAACGTCAGAAATACTGGATCCAAGATCTCACCGAGGAGTACTTCGAGGAAGTCGTCAAGGGTTACACCGAAGGATTCTTATATGATGAACCTCTGTGCAAATACTCAAGTACGCACTTTTAAAGTTTCACGTAGTTGCACATCGAAGACCGAAAACGAAATTTAGATTAAATATTCTTTTTTTCAGAATGCGCCAACGATCCAGCTTGTGTCGCCGAATGGGCCAAATTCTGGATGTTATTCCTGAGCGAGAAAATGAGTTTGATCTGTTTGGCCAAAGATGATGAGGGCAAAATTAGAATAGCCGGATATAACTGCCTTCATGTAGCCCACAAAATGGCAGATTTCAAAGTAAGATTAATTAAATTTGATTTATTTCAAATACGCTTTTTAGAAAGAAACACGTTGACAGACGTTTTTTGTATATGGTCGGTAGTTTGTTTTTAATTTTCTTTTTCTAAAGTGTACAGTAGTAGTACGACAATTCAGTAAGCAAACATTAACGATAAGATTTTACTTCGTAATATAATTACGTTTTGCAAACATTAAAGTTAATACATAATAAATTTACTTAAACATTCGACTCGTATCAAACTACAAATATTAGATATACATTTGTGCAAACTCTAAATTGATATAATTTCAATATCAGAATACGAAAATAAGAAATCAATCTAGACTAAATATAAATACAGATTTTTTTAAATACTGTGCCATTAAACTACTTCGCATTAATTACATAATCATTAATAGTTTTGCAACATTTTCTCTTTTTTTTTACTAAAAGTAATTATTAGTAATTATCAAATTACGTATTTTTTTAATTGATTTAAACAAAAAAATTCTTAAGATCCAATAAAAACAATTTACTTCAAATCATTCGTTAAGTTGTAATGATTTTAATAACATTTTTCCGCTTTCGTTTTGTTGTTGTTTTGCGTATAAATAATTGAGAAACTGAATGCATGATTATTACATAACATGTAATTATGCATGATAAATGTTTGGTTGATATGTTTCTCTATACTCTCAGAACATGTTCTCCTCCTCTATTTATTTATTAGAAATTGCAACAACATACAAAAATGTAACTAGTTTTATAATTTCGCTGTATTCGCACGTCGAATGATGATAAATCGTAAGATAAGGCACTACTCAAACACACGAAAAATATTAATTTTTCTCAATGGTAGATGTAATTCGTCAGTCATATACGTCAGTAACTACATACTATATAGCTCGTAACTTAGTTTATTTAAATGACAAAATACTTATATAGAGTATTGTATTTACGGCGTAGCTAAATCGGGATGAATAGTTGGACACGTGCCGACATCGGTGTATACAAATCGAAAATAATGCTTCAATGGAAGCCTTGATAAAGTCCGCTGAATAAAATTAACAATAATTACCTGATACAACATCGGAAAATTCAAATGATTGTTTGTATTTCTAATCAATATTCTACAATGCGATGCAAGTAGTGTACTTCCATATCTATAATTTGTTATTTAATATTATTTGTACTTGCACAAAATAATAAGGGACGAGATAAGGGACGAGTGAACAGAAATGAAAATTTCACTTATGCAACATATTAATAGTTTATATTTGTATTTGATTTTCAGGCAGAGACGGAAACAGCGAGGAAGCTGTTGAACATGTTGAAATATGTCAGCGATCAGAGGGACGCTTACGAAGAATTCAAGATGGATAAGTATTTGTCCGCAATGGGGCTTTACGTGCTTCCTGAATTCAGAGGCGAAGGTCTTGGACAAATTATTTTGGATACAAGGTATACGTTTGCCAAGTACATATTACATTAATTCATTATTGTTGTTGATATTTTAGACAATATTTGGGTAAACTCCTTGGCTTTAAAGCCAGTCTAACTGCTTACACTTCGTGCATATCCCAGAAGCAAGCCTACAGAGCCGGATTCAAAGATTACGTAACCATTTCATACGATGATTTAGCCAAAGTCAACAAAGATTACGCCTTGCCCGGCATCGAGGAGCACACCAAAGAGTTCAAGTATATGTACATGCTGTATTGATTATCATTTTATGATGCTAGATTACTTTGTAAATAAGTTAATTCTATTTAAATATTGTTTGTTATTTTACTTAAAAATAATATGATCTTACTGTTATATTATAAGCGCCCAATTCCAGAATACATTGTTGTGTTCAACCATTATTATTAACGAACTAGATACATCCACGAAGTCTTTTATTCGCCTTATAATATAAACATATACATCAGCATAAAGGAATCTCCGATTCGATACAATTTAATATAAACAAAAGGGGCCCAAGCTTAAACATTTTTATACCTTTTTGAGTACTCCGAATTCATGTCCTTTTATAATCTTTCCACGTAGAATCCTAATCGATTCTCTTTTTCATATAAACAAATCCAAAGGATTTTGACCTTGTCTCATAATAAACAAAACCACCCAACTCGAATACCGCGGGAACGCTTCATCATCATATTCCCTACTCCCAATCACAACTCCTACGGGGTTAATAAGAATTAACTTTGTAAGTAGAATAAGTATTCAGGATTAGTCTCAGCAAAAGCTTTAAAGATGAACAAAGTCTCATAAAAACCTTAAATAAAAAACAAAGCCTTAAATGAAGAATATAGTCTCATAAGAATCTGAGACTATGCTCATCATATAGCATAGTCTCAGATGAATCTTAAAGCGACGAAGTTATGTAAAACCAAACGAATTTCATTAACTTCCCTACAACTGAAAATCCACACCAGACAATATTCCACTATGTCCATAAATCCATCCCTGGGATACGACATCATATATAATACTCCCTCTGTCCGAAAATATGATATACATTTGCGAAAAAAATTAAATAATACTAAAATTAAATAAAAAAAATATTAAATTCATTTTATTATCACAATATAACTAAATACAAATAATTTTAGTGTAATCCAAATTTAGATAAAAGTAAGATTTAGCCATCTTTCGCTTCTTTTGAACAAATACATTTTGTATACATTTTAGTCGAGTCGATTAATCTCAAGACATTATCTCTATGATAACATTCCTCCTCATGATAACATAATTGATTCCATACACGTTTGTAAATAATTGTTATAAAAACGTTATGAAGAGTAATTTTCTCTAATTTATTAAATTCAATTCATTCATCAATTGTGTTGCGCGAAGCTTCATATTGTAGTAATTAAATAGAGTAAAAAATACCCAAATCGAGAACGTTTAAATCGGTAGTGGTTGTGACTTAAATTGAACAATCCAACCATCAGTAGAACCGTGTTCTAATTTTTCTTTGTTCTTCATATACTGTAATAGCTGTTGCAAGATACCATGACGTTTTTCATTAGTCAATTGCTTCGATTTGGCATCTCGATTATATCTATATTTTTTTCTTAAAAAAACTAATTTTTGGTCTTCAAATTCCAACTTAACTTAAAAGCAACGACTGTCAAATATGTTATGTTATTTAGTTATCAATATGAATATTAACAGTTGCTTTGGAAACTCTAAATAATCTAATATTTGCTTTGAAATGTATACCATATTTTCGGACAGAGGGAGTATTAAAAACTGTCTAAAATGTATGATTTAAGCAAATACGATCTTATCTACTTGTTTGAGCTCAAATAACTCAACCCATTAAATTTGATATTAACAAGAATATATACTAAAAGTTGTTGAGAATAATTGTATAATCATTACCGGCGCCGGCTCGTATATATTTTCTACCGGACGGTGACTACGTGATTTAAGTCCAATTTTTAACGAAAAATGTATGTTATAATTTATTGATTCAATTTTCTAATTACTATTTACAGCATCAGGCGGTAGAACAAAGATTGAAGAACGCTGATTTATATATTATTTTTTTGTTGGTATATCAACAAAAAATAGGACCTATAAAATACCAATTTAGCCATGGTAAAACAGTACAAGAAAACTACAATTATCAAAACACGCATTTATTAATATTGTGTATGCAATAATCAAATGTTTTGTGCTTAAACAATTGTCTAAGTTTATTTATTATGGACACAATCCCAATTGTTTAGCAAGTATTATATGTGACTTATGGCAACTGTCAAGACACGTCTCGGTTGCTATTGACATAATTAACAATATTCATAATTTATTGTTATATAAACATTAGTTTTTAGTAATAAAAATAAAATCAAACTACCACCAAAATTTACTATCACTACAAATAGTAATCTAATAGTCCATAGTAATCTGTTATATAAAATTTTGCTGGAATTGCAACTGACGATAAAATATTTTTTATGACTACAAATATTTGCATTATAAAATAATTATATAACCACTAAAGACGACTTCACAAAAAAAAACCTTATAAAAGTCAACTGCATGGTACTTAATACAAAGAAGTACAACTAAATATTATTATTATTGTTATGTTTGCAATAAGCTAATGTTTCAAGATCAAACAAATATATAAGTTTATTTCTTATAGTCACTGTAACAATTATTAAACAAGCATTATATGCGAATACTGGCAACTTCCATTGGACAAAAACTTGCAAATAACTGTAACATTTATTAGATCTGAAGAAAGTTCTTTTAATAATTAATATTATTTAATCTTAATTAAACAATAGTTGTTAGTAATAATAAATCAAAAACGGACACCAACATTTCCTATCACTGCGTATAGCAATCAAAAATTATAACTTTTATCAGTTTCCTGTCAATGTTTTGCAAGTGATGATAAACCTTTTTTTAGGACTACAAATATTTATTTTATAAGTAGCAAAAAAAAAATATTCGTCCACCGGATTTCGTTTATTATTACTTGATCAGCTGAATTTTCTTCAGTAAAGTGTCCACCACACTGATAAATGATTGATTACCATCAATAAATTGAACTTCTGGATTTTTCATGTTCCTGTAAGCTTCAATAATACTACAAAATATTTGGAATTAGTGATTATTACATAGTACGAATTGTATACGAAACTCACTTGTTTCTAAATGTAGAATCATTCGCAATACATTTTTCTTGTTCCGTGTGCATCTGCCTACCGGAAATACGTTTCAACCTTTCACCCTCGTTCACGTTCAAGAAATAGACCGCGTCTGGTTTCAATAAATCCATGGGCCATTCGTAAACCTCGTCACCCTTTGGTGGTAAAGTTCCACTTTGGGCAAGAGCGTACGCAACAGTCGAATGCCAAAACCTAAAAATCAAAACATTTGCAACGTTGTTTCTAATTTGAATATATTGGGTGAAGTAAAAAGTTCTGAGCGTTTTGTCCCATACATCAAGCTTCTTCGTGCAAATGGTTCCAAACGGTTTTCTTGCTAAACTTCAATTCCTGGGCAATGGAATAATTCTGTACCACAAGAAGTATCAAATTTTCTCTTTTTTTACCTCAATTTTGGAACGCTCTAAAACACACCACTGGATTTGTTTATTGAAAACAAAACTGTTTTTAAAGCGTTATTTCGCCTTTAAGTCGCAGTATAGAATGAAAAGATGCAACGTATACATCGTGAGATATGGTTCACTAAAGCCATGTAACGAAAAAGCTCAGAACTTTTTACTTCACCTATTATTTTCCCACCTGTCTAATATGACAGGCTGCGTTTCCAATATTTTCATCATTTCGAGCGATGCTATGTAATTTCCAAGTGAATAGAATATACCTCGTATTTCTGGATGTCCATCAAAATACGGTCGTAAATTATCAAACATTTTTGGTGGTGTGCAATGAAGCCAAGCGCCTATTTTCTTCGATATTTGTTTCGTCGTCGATGTTTTACCTATTTCAAGTTATTAGGAATATTTTAATCAATAGCAAACAACGTTTTATTAGATAAGAATTACCACAGCCATCGAGGCCTTCGATGACTATTAATGGAAACTTCTTGGTAACTTGAGACGATGATAATTTCAAATTATCGTACTCTTTTAACATAGTCTTTATTTCGAATTTATCATTCCACTAAAAAAATAATAAATGCAGTTTTCCTCTATTGCAAGTAATACATTTAAAATAGATGATAAAAAAGCTCTAATTAATGAAAGAACTAGATTTTTAAATTCGAATAAAATAGTAACATACCTTATTTTGATCAATAATGTCGAGAATTGATTGTAAAGATTTATATATAACTGGCATGTTTGCAGTCACTCCAATTGACCGTTCTGTAAAACAATTGAAAACACACTGACGTGATTTATGACGTGATATTGCGAATATGTAAAAGGGGGAAACCCCCACAAGCAATTTATTCATTTTGAAAATAAAGTTGCCTATAATAAAGTGATCCTGTTACATATTATTGCGTTATCAGTACAAGTAGCCACATGTAACCTAAAACAGAATAAATCAAGTGAAATTGTTAAAATATAGTTTATTTTATGATACTACTATGAATAATTAGATTGTTGTATAAGAGAATGATTACTGGTAAACTTACAACACTTGATGTAAATATATTACTGCTTTTAAGAAATTAACTTGGATACAAACTGAAGCTAAAACTAGCGATTCTTTCATTATATCATTTGAGTTGTTACTTGTATCGTGGCCAATAAAATAAAAATTTATATAAAGGAAATCAGAAATTACACGTCGTAGTGACCAAAAAATTCTAATCAATTCATGACAATAAACTGTATAATAAATAAAGTTTATTATGGTTTAGTTTATTTAATGTAAAATGAAATATTTTATTATTAATGAAACTTCTTTTTTTTATAAAGGTTATTGTTTTTAAGAAGGAATTTGATTTAAATAAAAATCTAATATTTATTAAAAAATACGAAATAATACTTTTATTGTAGTAAAATACTATGAAATATAAAACAGTGAATGGATACAATTAAATAAAATAGCAATAATGATATACATATGATATAGTAATAATAAATATATATATGTATATTTATGTGCATACGTTTTTTTTTCTAATTTAATTAAAACCAGGTATGTTTTCTTTTAAACTCAACGAATTTAAGAAAGCCATCCTGTTGTTCAGGAAGTCGTTGCGCATCTCCAATTGCATGGTTTTGTGTGTTAAACTAGATTTCGATCCTTTAATATTGAGGTAATGCAAGAAGTGATTTTCGATTGGAAACGTTCCTGTGATGTTCGGAATCGATTCCCAGCCTTGTCGTTCAAATTTGCTCACATTTGCGATGGGCGTTGGTTCGCTGCAATTGAAAATTAAAAGCATCAATAACATTGATTGTCAGAACAAAAACAACTATGTATTTACCTGTGAGATGCAAAATCCGTCCATATTTTAATGAGCGTCTTGCTCATCATGCGATCTTTTGCATTTAATTTTGGGAACAGCGCTGGTGAGTTGAAGAGGTATATCAGTTCATCACAATGACTAGTTCCCCAATCAAAGTTGATGTTCTCCTTGGTTGCAGCAAATACATCTCCGTACGAAAGGCTTCCTTTGTAATCGAAGTTGTAGAACCAAATGGGTGAATGTCCAAGGTAAGAATGAATGAGAGCAGATTGATATGAACCATGAATGAACGAACGATCCGAATACAGCTACAAGATTAGATATACTATAAAAATTAAATCTGTTATGTATGTGACTGTTATACATACATTGGTAAAACCTTGCACTGTTTTTGGATCATTGATATCAATGTCTTTGCCATTCATATAATACTTCTTATACTGTTGCCAAAGTTCCTCCGTGGTTCCATTAGTTAAACTAACATCTAATAAAAGTATTTTTTGGCATAGTGTATCAAAGTTCTGTTTTAGTTGCATATACGTGTCGCTCTGTCTCAATAAAGCTACAAATTTTAAATATTTACTTAATACTTATGAAAGAAATTAAGTGTTTAGACAACATACGACTTGTTCTAAGAATTCCTTCATCTGAATTTACGCCAACAATCCAAGGAACCTTTGCGAAATTTCCTTTAGTAATAATCAACAGAGGATCTTCAACTATAAATGGTTCTGGATTTCTTTCAGTTTTATTTTCGTTAACAATCGTATAGACAGTAACCGGTTCAATCGAAAAATACTGAAAATTAAAACATTAATAATTGTTCTCTAAAAACGTTATTGTTGATTTACTCTAAAAGTATCCGCTATTTGGACCATACTATCAGCATCAACATTTCTCATGCATTCAATGATGGTTTTGCTATCGGCCGTGTGATCGCACTGCGCTACCTGCGCAGAAGCCCTGAAGATTATTGCTGCAAAATCGTTCGCAGGTCGAGCCCAGATCGAAAGAGCACTTCCACTTTCAGAAATGCCTCTGTGGAATAAACCTTGGGAGGAAGGACTCAAAATGTGATGGTGTACCGATGCGGCTCCGGCACTTTGACCAAAGATTGTGACAGATTTAGGATCGCCTCCAAAGGACGCAATGTTCTTTTGCACCCAGCGCAAAGCTGCGACCTGATCCTTAAAACCCCAGTTACCAGGAGCTTCGTCGTCCAAAGATGAATAAAATCCTGAAAAAAATTGCAGATTGCTTTCAATCCTGACACGATTAAACTGACCTGTACGAACCGAATATCCCCAAACGGTAGTTGAATGTAACAAGTACGACATCTTTATCCATAAAAAATTCTGGTCCTATTAAACTGCTGTGCGACGATCCAGAGAAATATCCACCATAGTGTATGAAAACCATAACGGGAAAGAGTTTCGTTTTTGGTGTCAGATTACAGATTTCCTGGAATACATCATAGTATTAACACATTTTGTTTCTTCCAATTTATGCAGCGCTTACCTTTGGTGTATAAACGTTCAAATACAAACAATCCTCAGATCCTTCGATCGGGGGATTTGTGCTAAATAAATAGTTCTTTTGCTTGCAAATATTCCCATCTTTTGTTGCGTCGTAAAGTCCATCCCAAGGTTGATTTGGCTTTGGTTCCTGCAAATTTCACACTCTTTCAACTTCTGCATCAACAAAAAAATCAAGCCCAGATCAAACGCACCTTAAACCTAAGTTCTCCGATCGGTGGCATCGCGTAGGGGATTCCCCTAAAGCTGTAAAACGGCCGATTCGATCTTGATGCGTTGTACGTCCCGAGCAATTGACCGTACTCAGTTTGGACGATTGGTTTGCTGTAGCTGCATTTCGCATTCACCTCGTGATAACTTTTTAAAAGCAAAAAGACCAGCGGCAATATGTAAAACTTGTATTGTTTCATTGTGTCTGCAACAAAATTAAATATTTATAATCAATAACAGAAACTTTCATAATTATGGTGAAATGGTGAAAGTGAAATTTTTATTAATATCAAACATGTGCTGTTTTTTTTCTTAGTTTGTTGACATCTAAAAAGGCACCAATCAATTTAATTAAGTGGCGCTAATCATTAACTCTTGCTAAACAACAAACAGTTCTTTCACAATTTATATTGCTCCAAATCAATGTTTTAAATGCTGAATTAATTTTATAATATGATATAATATAAAAGTGATTAAAGAATTTTGGAAGATATTAATATAAAAATATTTATTTATTTACAAATATTACAATACTGATAAGGCGATTGTACGTTGCTCAAAAGATATGACCCAGCTACAAACGCATAGAAACTGTTCAACATACAATAATCATAATGAAAGTCACATCAAATTAAGATTAAAGTCGATGGAGAATGTTGGCGTTGACGAGATTAAAAAACAAGTGCAGCTTAAAATTTATTGAAAACTTCCCGTTTTTTTTTGAGATTATCAGTTTAATAAGCAGATTAATGCACTCGAAATGCAATGCCAAAATGAGAGTGCGTACAACGAATTGATCTCTCCATTCTTGTATTCACGTACCGTAAATGTTATAGAAAAATCCGCGCCTCTGCAATTCTGCCTCATTGTTCATTTCGAAAAAGTACACTAAACAGAATTTTAAAACGGACAACCACCAACGACAATCGCGAATCAAATTAAAATAATTGCAAATAACGAAACCGTAGTCCGATAACATGAGATTACTATCGCGGAGCGAGAGGAGAGGAGCAGAATAAAAAAAATCCTATTGCATTTCTTTTTTTATCAGAAATATTTGGCTCAGTCTGCTCATGAACACGAACTGAATTATATCCCATGTGCGATGAAGCTAAAGCAATGTACAATTGGTTTTTCTCAACTTAGGTTTTTTGTTTTGTTATATACCTGGAGATCGACGCAGTTCTTTGCAAACATTTACGCGACACAGGACATCTTTACGCGTAACGTGTTATGGGGTTAGTACGGATTTGCAATTTAAATACATTGCTTTACACTTTTGAAACAGTTCAACGTGCAAGTGAACCCAGTGATCCATATTTACATTTATCGTTTAATTTGCTAATGTTTAAATAATAATAAGAAGAAGATTCATGTTTATATCGTTTTACAATACTTGAATTGTCCACCCAAAATAATATTGCCAAGATGATAATAATTATAATAAATCTTATATTTCTCAACTTCTAAAGATCTCAAATTGAAGTTACCACAATAATTAATCGGAAACGTATTTCTTAGGTCAGTAGCCTTTAATGATTTTTACGTCTATTATTGACTAACGCATAAATAAATATTATTATAAATATTAAAGTATTATTGTCAATAGATCAATTAATTAAGAAATTATGTATTTAAAGCCTACGTCTGTCCTCGTTTTGCATATTTTAATAAATTTATGTATTACAGATAAAGTGCGTATATCATTAAGATTTGAATAAAGATTTTATTAGATAACATATAAATCATTATCATCCGCTATCGAAAATATAATTGAAACTATTTCCATTATAATAATGATACAAACAATATTAGTCAAAAGAAAATAACAATAATGATTGAGCTATCAATTGAGGATTTTGTTTTCCATTGATGGAAATTCCTATGAAAAATACTTTGTACTTTGATTATAATTCCATGTGTTTGTAGACACGCGCGCGATTTTCTCAAAGGAAAAATAATGTGGGCTTATCGAGTGAGAGTTGGTTCCAATAAACAAATTTATTTTGGAGATCTCTTTCATCAAAAAAGTATTAAACCACATCACTCACATATACTTGGAGCCATACACTGCATTAGTAGTTATTATGTAACTGAACTGATTGATTTTCGGTATCAAGTATAAAAAATTTATGTTTTTTTTTTCGAATTTGTTTTTATATGAAATTCCACAAACACGTGTTACGTAAATTTCCAATTCCTGTTTATTTGCAGATAATTTACACACTAATTAAATTTGTTTACATTCATAATATAAACGTAATAAATTAATAAAATTGAAGGAAAAAAAAATAATTTCTATTTTTAATTGATTCAACTTCCTGTAGCAAATAAAAATATTGTTTGAATTCATATAAATTTCGCCGGGTTTTCCACCTGCATATACCGGTTCGGAAGGTCTAAGATAAGTATCTAGCTGTTCGAATATTTTAACTCGAACACCTATTATTCATTGTTGAAAAGAATACCGAGACTACTACTACATTCATATTTTTGTTTGCACGAACTCTGTGGCGTCGAATACTTTGAATACTTAAATAGTGTACGAAATGAAAACTTGCAAATTTAATTCATGGATATGCAAATAATCGTATAGACAACCGTCCAGACGCGTAGTAGACTTAGTGTAGACGTTATTCGTTTTACAGAAATGTGCGCGTCTCTTTTAAAATGTTTATACATACATTTTCAATTAGAGTCGCTTTTGTTGAATGAAACAAAATCTACTCTGATTACGATATTTTTACATTCTTAATTAATTGTTGAACAATTTAAAGTTAAATGTCTTGTTAATTCCAAGGTAAACCACAATTAATGAAAGATTGTGTTTGTTTATTTTTAACACTAATATTTTCTTAAATTGACATTTAAATTAAGAACAATTAAAAAAAACTGAGCGTCAGCTGGAAATCTAAAATGTGTTTGTATTAGCTTTAATATTTAATAGATTGTAGTTTCGATTCAAACATTCTTTAAAATTCTAAAGTTATTTTCGCTTCCAATCTGAGAGAGGAATATTTATATGATATTAGATATAAATATCGATGAACGTATTGTTAATGTAATCTGCTTTAAAGCGCTCAGATCGTTTGAATGTACTTTCATACCTTTTCCTTCAAATGTACATGATTGTTTCCAAAAAGGGATTCACTATTGCAAACACCGACTGGCACAATCCAAAATAAACTATTGTGTAACGGCAATGGGGGAATGCAAATAAGCCTTTTTTTATTTATATACTCACTCTAAATTCCTGCTGGGCTAATTGCGAAACAAATGCACACGATAACTTTAAGGTGCGCGCTGCTATATAATGTACAATATCGAACCTACTGAATTTGGGACACCTTCAGGGCCCGACCGTGCTTGGACAAAATAAAAACTAAAATGATTCTTCGGATCGGTTTTATCGTGGCCATAGAAACTTTTCGAGTTTGCGCGTCGAATTTTGTCCAAGAAGTACACACATTTTCCCCCTTTCCTTTCGCATACGCAAAGATCCTTGTCCAATCTTAGATTACTGTGCTAAATATAATTGGAATGTAAATAATAAGGATATAAAGCTTATTTATAATTCGATACCATCAAAAGTTACTTATTGTTTTTCTATCAATTAATTTGAATTAGCAATCGTAATACACGAACTGTGCTAATTATAATTTAAGCATACTAAGTTTTAATCAAGTTTAATTTATTAATATTAACTGTGTTATGGTTTTAAGTAATTTTGCTTACATAGTAAATAATAAGTAAATGTTATTATTTTAATTATGAGAGATTAATTAATAGAGAGATAACAGATTTTTATTTGCAGAAGTGCAATGACCTTGTACTGTAACTCTTTAAATAGAAATATATGTAATTATTTTGAACTTTAGTTTAAAGTAATTATGAATTTAAAAATCGATTCGTTTAATTATGAGAACGTTAAGTATTTTCTAATATAAATATTCTTAAATTCGAATCCAGTCTGATACAATTGCACACGTGCCAATTACGGCAAACGGAATACACGGACGTAGATTTCAAGGTAATGTCAATGACACCCGAAATTGCCACCATCAAATCATTGCTTAGGGATTAAAACAATAAATTGATGAGAAATGGGTCATAGGAAATTGCTACGATTTGAATAATTTTGCTTTTCCGTTCGCGGTACAGCATCAAACGTACTTGCAAAAATTGGCCAAGATTTGAGCTTAAACGTAAGTAAAAGAATATGAACATTTGTTGATGTTGTTGTTGTTATTGTAAAGCAAAGTGATCAAGAAACGACCTTAAAAATCGGCGTGCGTGCAAAATTTGCAACAAGATCAGTTTCTTTATGTAATTAACGAAATGCGTGTTGGTTCATTGGCATTTTAAGCTCGTTACAACACAAATTCGATCGATTAAAATCAGCGCGACACAACGAAAATAGATGGATGGAAATTGCATGAATACATCAAACACAAATAGTGAAAATATGTAAAAATAGACTTATATGTTTATTCATTAATTTGAATGTAAACATTCGATAGTTTTAATCAATAGTTATGGGAAATAAATAGTTACGTTCCAAGTAAATGTAACCGAAACCGAATCTTGAACTATAGATACGGTTTCGGTTAGTTCCGGTTCGGTTCCGGTTGAAATTAAAATTTAAAATCGAAATAAATCAATTTAAAATGGTTAGTTAAAATATAAAATCGAGTCAAATATCAAATTTTGGTTTATTTTTATTTACCAAATTCCCTTCTTACTGCTGATTTCAATTATAATATTGAAAATAAAAATCAATAAATTAGTGACTGCACTTTGTAATGTTTCTTCAGTCTGTAATATCCTTTTTAATCACTTTCATTTGAGTTTGTTCTAATGAAATACTTTATTCTTCAAATTTCCGGTTCGACCCTCTGATATGTGGTAATAGCAGTGACTTTGACCGCCACTAATACATTTTACATTTTTTTTTTTTAAATATGTCGACTGTGAATAATATTGCTTTCCCACAATTAATTAAACTTCAAAAAGTATCCTACGTTTAATTTTTATGTTAGTGACATAAGTAAATCAAGTTAACAAAAATAGAATCGTTATTAATTAGCTGTAGAAACGTGAGAGCGATTTGTTTATCAAAACTTAATTTTCTTTGCCACGCGACGCAAACAAATTATAAAACAATTATAAGAAACAAGTGAATGATTTCCAGAAATTATGGACGAAATGCCATTCAAATTGTAGTGCTAAAGCTAATGAACCCGGACTTTGAATATGTTATTACACATTTTGCCATATCACCTATGCAATTAAATTAATGAACGATGATTGGGTAGCAGAATTTGTTGTTCAAAAATAACGATAATATTCGAAGCTATTTAAATTGAAAAACCTGTTTGTAAAATATACAAGTAACATTACTTTTCACGCAAATATATTAAGTTTATTGCGTAAAGCTGTTTATTTTTTTTTATATAAAGACTTTCATTTAAAGAGACACGAGAGTGTATTCGCATGTGTGCAAAAAAATGTCAAGGCTTTGTTTTATTAATTAAATCTGCATGCACTCGTTCGACAAAAGTGTTTAATAATTATTGTATAAAAAAGAAATATCTTGCAAATCGGAAACAATATAATAAATAAGTTCATAAGAAAAAAATAAAGAAATCAAATGAACAGTATATGATTTTAATTTCTTGTTTTTTTAATATAAGAGTTTGTTGTCAAAAAAATCTAGGTTAAAAGTAAGTAAAACTCACCGACGATTAAATAACAATCCTTAGAATATTAACTTTTTTTTTTGAGTATGTTAACACTTATGATGTATTGGTGTGATGGTGGTAGCACCAAAAGTACATGTACATTAACTTGACAACATTTTTAGCAGTTCCTTATAAACGTTTTCTGCGGACTACAGCACATACTCCACTAAATTATCGCGCATATAATAATGAACATACATGCCTCATACCTGATCTATGCTACAGTCTACCTCGAGCTTTTACACCAAACGGATCGAAATGTTTTCTACAATAATGAAACAGTGTTCACTACATTCAAACTATGTTACAAATAATAAAATAAATAAACAGTTTTATTTGAGAAACAAAAACCTAAGCTAAATTACATCAAAACAAATTGATTATTAAATTATATTAAAAAAAAAGAAAGAAACTCAATATCAACAAAAATAAATACAATATTTAAAAAAAAATGCAGATTTTATTTATGCTATCTCTATAACAATAACATGTAAACAAAATAATGTTATTATCAGAGTTATAATTATTTTGTCGGTTCGATGGAAAAACATTATTTTTTGTTTTGCATTAATTTATACGTAATCATTTACATAATATTTGACATTGCATTATTTCATTTTCTGCAAGCAAACGTAACTCGCAGCAATAAACAACAATTATACATAACAAAAAAAAAGCAAATAAAATCGTGTTTCTTTGCTTACAATTCATTTTCACATCTAAACATTCATCTCATTTTGATTTGGAAACATATGGTCCAAATAAAAATAAGTTTAATTCATTATATTATGGAAAGCATTTCAATTTCGAATCAAAATAAAATTTAGTTCAAGTTCATTTTTTAAGCAATAAATTTTGAATTTTAAAAATTTCAAATACTACACTTTATCATGTTATTGACTTTTATATATGTTAAATTCCGTATTACAGACTGCATACATTTAAAAAATTAGATTAAAATAAACAAAATACTTATTTACAAATAAGTCGGGGGATACCTGTATTTAAATATATTGGAAATGGCGAAGTCTACATTTGATGATGTAAATAAACTTTTTTTTTTATTTATTTTTTTCGACTTTCCGATTAATATTTTTGCAGTTAAAAAATGCCAGAAGGTCGGAATTTTTCTTAAATAAAACACGCATAAGTGTTAATTAAGATTGCTAAATAGTTTCCTCTAAATAAATTACAATATAAATAGATATTTAAAAAAAGTGACAATTTAAAAACAAATTACTTTAATGACATAACAAGTGTTAAAATTGTCTAAATAATGTTTCACAATTTACTAAATTATAGTCGATGAGTAGTAGCATTGCTACGACCGGCCCAAACAATGTTAGTTGAGGCACCAAAATCGCTTTGTTCACTTTTATCGATTCGCTTTGTTCATTTTTATCGATTAAAATTTGAAGTGATGCAATTTCTTTTTGAAGGTTTTAGAATGTCACCCTCAGCTCACTCATTTTTTTTCGTTGTCAACATAGCAACCCAAACCACCCCTTCACCGCTCATACAATGATGGGGATCTATATTTAGGATTAGTTATTAGAATTGTGATATAAAATCTCTAATATTGATTATGCAATTAAATGTTTGTTTCTTCTTATAATAAGAATATTCATTTACATAATAAATATTCATACAAGGTTTTAATAAAAATATTGTTTATTATTTACGGATTTTTGTTTTTGTTATTTATTTACATATTTTGTAATTGTAATCAGATAAGAGTTTTGGAAATATATTAATATTAAGCAGCGTTCATATATTGTTATACTAAATAATTGTAACTGTAACCAAAATTATTAATATATACCAAATTTCAACTCTAGGAAAAGAGTACAATAAACAAAAAATTGTATTGTGTTGCAAAATCCAATATGAGCAGTTTTGCAATTCCGATTAGTCTTGATCTTTCCACTCATTTTTTTCCTTGCTAATGTTTATGTGCAAGATTTGAAATTAGGGCATCTTACTTTTTGACTGTATTAAAGCAGAGGTTTCTAAATTGCGAGAGACGCGAAAAAATTGGTAGAAAATATTGGAATTTATTCTGATCGTTGAGGTAACATAAAGTTTAGAAATCCCTGTATTTAAGATTATTTTCAATTAAATTATAAGCTATATAAATATTCTTTCTAGTAAACTTATTACCTAACTAATTGTTTATTAATTATTATACGTGACCTTCCTTTATTAGTATGTAAATTAAAACGACTATTATTGTTTCCATTTTTAAACGTTAATGTAACATCATGTAAATTAAATTCTAAAATTTTTAACCTCAGTAAATTTGTAAAGCGAAATCGAAGTATAAAGTACGCGAATCTCAATTTGTTCAATGTTAACTAAAACCGCTTGTCGAATAATTACGACATAATTGCTTTGATATAATTATAATTTTCATTTTTGCACATTTTTTTCTTCGCATAATTTAACAATGATGATGTTGCCACGAAATTTAATTATTTAAAAAAAAATTATAATTTTTTTGAAAAAACAAACTTTGTACACGCATGTAAATCAATATGCAAATCGAATACAGGCACGTGTCTGTTTGGAGATTGGATATTTATACGTGCAGACTTAAGTGAATGTTCGGCGTGGAAAACAGTCGGAAAATGATGTATTACAATTTAAATTGAAGAAAAAAAAATGATTTTTCAATTACTGCCTCGGGTGAATAGGTCGAATGCACGCGAATTCTTCGACAAATCTATTGTGCTTGTTCCTTTTGTAGCGCGCACTTCGTATCACCGGGCGGACACGTGTCGATTTTTAAACAATATTTGCGTATGAAAAATAATTTATTTGCTACAAATACATTTATCTCCGAATTTTCTGTATCAATAACAAACTCGAAATCAGATTTATATTTTTATTTTGCAAACGATTTGTTTTTCGTTTAATTAATCATATATTTAATTAGAATCTAGTTAGTAGTATTTATAAATAGGAAATTAATATAAATTGAATATAATTTTATATAAATATGAATTTTTATTGAATTTAAGATAAATAAATTTATTTTCCAACAAAAACAATAAACTTGAATTTAAATCAAAATTTTATTTTGTAATTCTGTCAAAATTTCGCTAAGAAATTTTGTAATTCTTTTTAAAAGTTTACTCTCAGCACTATTACAGGATAATTTTCATAGAAATGAAATAAAGTCTTCTTTTCACATCATTCAAATTGGAATCTGCAACCAATTTATATGTTATTTCTTCTACCAATAGAACAGTGACACTCAAAGTGTGAAATATTTGGGATGTCACAAAAAAATAATAACAGATCAATCCTAGTTATTTTCTGAACTGTTTATGTCCAAAAGGAAGTCGCGGACCAAAAAGTTTGAGAATCACTGAATTAGAAGATACTTTCCGAAGTTTTAATGATTTATATTTAGAAATCTTAACGTTTACTATTTTTTTAAATAAAAACAAATAGTAAAAGCGTTATACTTTTGAACTTCATTCTCAATGAATATACTAAATCATCAATTTTAATTTCACTATAATATGTTTCTGTTATTGACATTCTGATATTTATAATAATATGAACCTTTCATTTAAAAAAAAAAACAATAGGTCAATTTTTGCTAGTCAATTTATTTACTGATGAAAATAATTGGCCAAGGACGTTTCGTACTTTCTTTTTCAATAATATATTTTCCAAATATTTATTTCCCAAAGTGTATATGGGCGACTAATAGCCGAATTGTTAAGTCGTCCTTCCCACGATTCCGTGAACGCCGGCTCGAATCCTGGTCAAGCCAGGCCCTTTGTGAGTACTCTCGGTGCTTCCAGCAATAGAGCCATCGTTCATCATTAATAGGCAGTCAAATGAAAGAGGTTCAGCATATGGACTTTCAGCCAAGTCGATGGATAATGACAGTGTTAAGGATAGCAGCAGATTCGCAGTGAAAGGAAATAGTGGAATCGCAGAGCATCAATATACTACTGAAGTTAACCTACGAGATGACAGCCAATCTACAAATTACAGAAGGATATAATGGTAAAAACTTCCATTGGGAAGTTTACCAAAAAGCAAAATTTCTACCGCCATTAGATTTAATTAATATTCGCAAGAATAAGATTGTAAATTAAATATACTATGAAATAATAAAAAAAAAACACGTGTATATGTGTTGGCAGTTGAATTTCATTTATATAAGGTATTGAATAAACCTGATGCGTTTGCAATGCCTGTATTATCAAACTATTTTTCCTATTACGTCATTGTCATTAGCATAATTAGTTAGTTATGTATCAGAAAATACAAATACTTCATATTACGTTCAAACAAGTAATGAACTGATGATAAGAAGATATTTATAAATACCTTCATTTTCCTATTTTCATATCTAGCAGTACTATTATTATCCGCAAAATTGCTTTACTAATTTATGCATAATGGTTTTATTTGCATTCTCGTTTATTTTTTTAGACTTATGGAAATAAATAAAATTGATCTACTTTGCAGATTGTTCTTATTATTAACACATTCAGATTCGTTCTTCTGTGCTGATGTTAGAGATTCATTCAAGTGAATCTAAAAAATAATATGTCAATGTTTAATAGAAAAATCTACAAGTTTATGTAGCTGTAGCATGTTTTTAATATTAAGTATCTGTATAAATTTTTATATCCTATTATATCACTGAGAGAGTTGATATTTATTATGCAAGAATACCAATACGTACCGAGTCGATAAAGTGATACAGAAAAGAATATACACTAACAGTTTAATTACCTTCGTAATACCTTATTATGCAACGCTGCATCTCTACAGCAGATAACACACCCAAGTTTCCTTTACCTTGGTTGGTCTGCCCTCGAATTCCGTAAGATCTTTAGCGACCTTATTACTTCGACAAAGTAACATCTCCATTTTGTTTAGCTCTGTAATGCCCACATACCTGCAGAAACTCTCAAAAGACAGTTCTAACCAATATAAAATAAAAATTTTATCCAAAATTTAGTAGTATAACTTATATGTTTGCATGTCAAATTGATTAGCTATCTAGTAAACTGTTTGCTTGAAATTTCTACATTTGTGTAAACATGTTAACAAATACCAGGATTCAGAAATATCTACAATCATAAATAAAATGATTATAAATATTAATAATCACTTATTTGGAATTATATTCTAGAAATTGTAATACATTTAACACGTATTTCTATACTTTTTTTTAGACATTATCTTCACGCATTCTAATTGGAAAAGCAACAACATGGATTAAAGATTATACTTTTTCAAACTTGTTTGCTTATTTTTGAACTAATTAAAATTGATAAAAATTAAAAATTGATAAAAATAATCTTTATTAGTCACCAATTGTAACCAAAGGGCTATCGACCTATAATTTTCTTATTTAAAATATAGGAAGATAAATTTTGGTTTTGTACATTAAATAAAACTTCGACAATAATGGTAATTTAAATTTATTGACATATGATTTTAAACATAATTTTCTGCCAAATATCGTACAACAGGAATGTAATTATAAATTTATTTTAATGAAGCGGTAATATTTCAATAACATATTTATTATTTGCACATGAATATATCGCCGTTCAAACGTACAAATATTTACATCTGTAATTGTCCAATATATTTCTTAATCTCGACTCCTTCCCAATGTTTCTCCTTGAGATCCAAAAAAATGCTGAAATTACATAATACAGTAACTGTAACCCGAAGAACTGCGCTTACTTTTGCATTATATGTTCCAGCACTTTCTTCTCCTTGCCATTCAAACCGTTATAAAAAGTGTCCAAGTTGGATTTCAGCAAATCCACGGTGTTCATACCGACCAAATGTGTGTGGATACTTTTCTTGCTATAGACATAATGCATGGCCAATTTAGCTAATTCCACGTCATTTTCCTACGAAACACGAAATGCGGCTATAAAATTCTCATATAAAATAATTTGACGAAATTATCGTGAATTTCTAACACGATTTTACGGTTGATGTAATTACTTAAATTACTGTCAAATACCTTGCAGTAATTGCGAGCCTTCAAACATGCATCCTTGATGGCACTTCCAGCGGGATGCCAAGGCTGAGGTCCTCCATTTGTTAGCAAGCCCATAGCCAAATATGCAGCATTTACAATACCTACACCTTCAAACATTTCCAATGCATTTTCTAGACTATCGTCGAATAAAGACATGCGACTGTACGAGAGAACCGAATCGATCTTCACCCGGGATTTCTCGAATAATTTCGCTAATTCAATAACCGGATAACCGGTGATCCCAATAAACCTAGCCTTTCCCTGCTTCACGAACTCCTCTAATACTGGTAATGTATTATCAATTAAGTACTCCAAGGATGGAGCAAATTCAATGTCGTGCACCTAAACATATACAATCGTTATAGATTTAATATCACGCAATTGATATTAATACTTGAATTATATCCACGTAATCCAAACCAAGCCTCTTCAAACTCAACTCCAAGCTGCCTCTAGTTTTCTCGGGCGAAAAATCGAACATCAATTTAGGATCTAACTCGTATCTTCCAATTTTTGTTGCAATGTAATACGCTTTCCTAGGTATCCCATCCAGACACTACAATTTAAAATAGAAAATTCTATACACCGCACTTTTCTTTATTTCGCACGAACTTTTCCAAGTGTTTCTTCGGACGTGCCCTGTCCATACCACGGCGCTGTATCTATATAGTTTATGCCCGACTTTAAAGCACCTCGAACTGTTTTCTTGCATTCTTCTAAATCGAATCCACTAAAATTATATAAATAATTATAAATTAAACCATGCTTCAAATTTTTGTTCCTCCTGTAAGTAACGAAGTACTCTGACAAATTTGATGGCATCATACAAATTGCTATATGAAAATCATAGAGCCCTAAACAACAAGTACAAAAATTGATGAAGCGGTGGGGGGTGGATTGTCGGTTCTCAGAGGGCCACATTAAGAAAGTCATGGGCCCTAGACACCTTTTATTTCTAATATCTAAGAGTCCTAAACAAAGTCATATATCCCCACCCACATTGTAGTTCCGCTAGTAAATCAAGGCAAGGACTCAATTTATCAACATCAAAATTTGATGTTCCGATAGTGTTCCGATAACTCAATTTTGAACTCTACACTTGAAAAAAAAAACTATATCTGATGTATTACTTTGTACTCAATTACAATAATATTATATAACATTTATTATTCTTATATATAAATATAGAACTTGTTTCGAAAGTTATATAGGCAACTTACTCTTCATTGTTATTGTAAGTTCTTACTGGAGAAAAGAGGAAATTGAAGATACTTACCCATAAAGTTGGGAAAAACCACCAGTGCCTAATGAAAGTTTAGATACGTTGATTCCCGTCTTACCAAGTGGACTATATGCCATTCGTTTCACGGCATTTTCATCATGAAAATCACAAATATATGTTTCAGGAAAATCACACATCTTACTCAGCCAATGGAGACGTAATTATGAGTATCATCAGTTGCAATTTATGATAAGAAATGGACATGTATATTGCATGCACTCTTTTAATTCTTCTAATTTATGTTATAACCAAATTTCGTTGTTATTTAAATAAAGTTTGAAGAAAATAAAATAATTTTCATATGATAATTACCTTTTTGTTTGCCTATTTCTAGAAATTTTTAAATTCTATAGGCAACTTTACTTTCCAAAGTGCAATATGTTTAATTCTCACTGTTGCCGTTGGTAACAGCTAGTTATAAAAAAAAGGAGGAGTAAAAAATTGTACAGATTTTTCTTCTCACTTTTATCGTTTTCGTCGTTTTGTGAAAGTATATCAAAGCCAATCGCTCGCCTTTTCTCTGCCTGCTTTGCATTTGCTTTCTAATTGTACCAATCATTTCTATGTGCCAAATAGATTTATGAATTAGTTCGAAGAGACGACTTGAGTTATATAGAGTGCTTACAATGGAGTCCCTAATATTTGTAACAACGGTCGAAACCAAAGGATCGTATCTGAAGATTATGGGCCAGATTGATAAGTCAGTGGCAATACTTATAGAGTCGTCGTTGCATGAAAACAGTTCCCAATTTGATCAGGGAAAACATATGCTCAGTAAGAGTGAATGCCAAGAAGGTGTTCTCTGTTGTGCTAAATATAAAGATGGAGATTATTATAGAGCGCAAATTACTAATACAACATATTTAAGTCAGGATGTAGTCGAACTGTTATTTATTGATTATGGTAACCGAGAGAATTGCACAGTCAAGGATTTGCGAGGCATGACATGCTTTGCAGCTAACATTGTTACACTACCTCCCCTAGCACGAGAATTTATTATAGCAGGATACACACATGCCGGATCAAAATGGAATGAAAGAGCAATTGAAGAATTGTCTGAAAACATTAAATATATAAGTTATAACTATAAAGTTGTTGGTCAAATTGGAAATAATGTTATGATAACATTATTATCTGATAACAATGATCCACTAGCAAAATATGCTAAGGATGGTTTTATATCTACAGTACCACTGGAAATACAGCAGGCTGCATTACAAGAATCTATTAATAAAAGAACTTCCAATGGTCCAACAAAGTCCCCAGAAACTATCATAACTTACAGATCTACACCTATATTAGTTAATGAAGAATATAAAGCATACATCTCATATGTCACTGATGGTCCCTGCTTATTTACTGTTCAACTTCGAGAGATGGAAGAAAAGTTAGATAATTTAATGAGGGATATTAATAACCCAGGAATGAACCTGCAGAGATTGGATGATTTTCCAATACCAGGCAGTGTATGTCTGGCACAAAGTTTGGAAGACAACTATATTTGTCGAGCTGTAGTTACTAGCACTGTAGATAGTAGAATTAAAGTAAGTCATTAAAAAAATATTTCTATTAACAGTCTGAATTTTTATAATATTACTATCAACATATTTAAGGATGTTTTTCAAAGGCCAATTATTTTAGTATAGATAATTTGTTATCTAAGAAATGAGTCATTAAAATAAATTAACTGATAGGAAACAAAATAACTTGTTATTGATGATATTTAAAGATATTATAGCTTTCTATGCTTCTTTTTATCTAGGTCTTTTATGTGGATTTTGGAAACACAGAAGAACTTCAATTTTCTAGATTATACCAGATGCCTGTTAAATATCTAATACCTAAAGTGATGGCAACAAGATTTGGGTTAGCTGGCTTAAGTGGTTGCAATGTAAATATGGAAATGAAGGTGGCCTTTAAAGATTTTGTCACGAACAAAGTCCTTACGATGCGTAAAGTACCTCAAACTGCAGAATCGGCGTTGCCACTATGCGAATTACACGATAAGAACAATGTTAATGCTTTGGACTTCATTAAGAAAGCTGCCGTTGTCTCTTATTCAGATCCAGTTTCGCTAGTAAAAGGCATTTGCCAGGAAGTTAGGGTGACTTACGCCAATAATTGTCGGCAATTCTTTGTCCAACTGGCAAGCAAACAATACGATATAGCGTCTTTGATGAAACTAATTCAAAGAACATGTGCTTCCAAGAAGCCAATAGATCCTAGAAAAATTGCACTGGGCACTCCGTGCATCGCTCTTAATGAAAGCGACATGACATACTATCGAGCTGAAATCATTGGCATAGAAGAAAAACGCGTTTTATGCAAATTCGTTGATTTTGGTTTCCAAGGACATACCATTAAGAGCAATGTTGTTCCCGCTGATCCTGAAATAATGATGATGCTGAAGCCACAGGCCATAGAATGTTGCCTGAATGGATATTACAATATCGATAAAATTGATCCAGTGTGGGACATATTCTTTAGAAAGATTGCCGAAAAGTCACTTTTCAGTTTGAAATTGGTAGAGACCACAGGCACCAAACATTTAGTAGATTTGTTCGATGAGAAAAATGCTAGTGTTAACACGCTAATTTATGATCAGCTAGGTACAAAAACACACCATAAAAATTTGGAATCGTTTGATGCCGATAATAACATTTTAAGGTATTTTAATACGTTTAACTTTAATGCAATTATGTTAATTTTGCATTTTATTTACAGAAATACTCAAAGATCAAATTCTGGAATGGATAATATACAGTAAGTATACTTCGATTAATTTATTAAATCAAAATTTGTAAACTCGAATAAAATTAAATATACTTTAATTTAATTGTTATTCTAGATATTCAAATGGCGAAGAAAATTGGAGGGAAATTCGCAACAGGTAGGGCATCTAGCCGGCGGTGTTTTTTCATTATTTTGTTATTATTTTCTATTGCAACTTACAGAAATTCTCAAACAGGCCAGAATGGAAATAAAAAAAATAAAAATGCAGAGAAACAAAATCAGAGTAACAAAAGAAATGCCAGGTACAATCGTTAAATTATGTCGTATATCATACTGATTATTCATTGTCTTTAACTGTATTTATCAATCATTGCGCTTCTGATGATTTAAAAGTCTCTAATATAGGCAATAATTTCTAATTCTTCAATATAAGCTTGGGAGTCTCAATTCACATCTTTATTGTAATTGTTTTCATTAAATTAAACCTGTTTCCATTATTCTGTGTTGCTAAAATTAACCAACTGCTTTATGTCTTTTATTAATATAATGAATATAATTATTTGTTTTTTTTTAGAAACGATAATTCGAAAAACGAACGAAACTTGAATAATCATGGTTTAAAACAACCTACGAGGTAATTATAAACACAAATTATACTTAAAAATAAATAATATATGTTTTATTTCGATGCAGACAAAGCGACAAGGATTCAACAGATAGGCAAAAGAAGCGAGCAGATAATTCTAGGAAAACAAGTCGGTGAGAAATTATGCTTAACGTTAACAAATATTGTTAAAACTAATATTTTAAATCAGTTATAAATTAACTTTATTTGATTTGTATTCTAATTTCAGCGAGGGAAGTGAAAATAGTTATTCGGGATCCGATATCAGCGTGAACAAATATCCAAAAAAATCGATTAAACCTTTAAAACAAGAATTTGATTTCGCTGGTCCAAACGACGCATACGAAGAGTACGACGACCTGACCAAAATGTGTCTTCAAAAAGTGTCCGTCTGTTGGTTCTTCAATCCAGCAAATTTCTATTGTCAACTATATAGGGAACAGGTATAATATGAATAATGCATCTAAAACTATAACTTTATTTAAATTTAACAATCAATAGGTTCGGTTTTCTGTTATGATGAAAGAAATCCAATTCACCTATAAATCTCGTAACATATTCACCGAAGCCACGGTAGATATGCCTGTTATCGCCCAATTCGAAGACGACGGTGCTCTCTATCGTGCAAAGATTATACAAAAGATTAAATCCACAATGTCCGTGTATTTCGTTGATTTCGGTAACATTTCAAAAACTGACATCGTATATCAAATTGAGAAGAAGCACATGGAAATGCCAGCTCAAGCGCTGCATTGCTCTCTACCAGATATCGTCCCATTCGAAAACAAAGCGTGGCCGAAAACAGAAAAGTTCAGCAGCTATTTCAACAAAGATATGTATTCCTGCTTATTTTCGGAGAAGAAAGATAAATGGTAAATTAATTTTATTTTTATATAATTCTCATTTTTCAACTAATTTTGGTTTTAGTTATTATGTCAATTTATTGTTGGAGGAAATTGATCCTAAAACTTCTTTGAATTTAACCGTAAAAGAAAAATTAATAGATGATAAGTTGGCTAGTGACTATATTGCACCAAACAAATTAAAAGTTAGTTTGTTGAATAATAGAACTATAAGGTGTAAATTGCACTCCATGGAAAGCTTGTCGAATATCGAATTGCAGCTCCAACCTAAAGTGATAGTGACTTGTTCATTTTTCTTTTGGAAAAATGCAACTGAAGACTCTGAGCAGATTCTACGAAATTATATTAACAAATTTGTTATAGTACATGTTAATAACATCGTTAATGATAAGTAAGTTGATATCTTGCATTGTTTATCGAATGTCCATTAATCTTGCCCTTTTTTTAAATTAATATTTTAGATTGAGCGTTATATTTTATAACGAATTAGGAAATCTAATTGATTTATTGGTTGGAAAAAATAATGTCCCAGAGAATATTTCACCTGTGTGTCCATATCCAATCATATTCACTTCAATCGAAGGACGCATTGTGAACATCTCTGGCGTCAGTATCTTTATTAAACCGGTAAAACACGAAGAAACAATTGATTCCATTAAGCAAAATATGTGCACATATTATGAAAGAATTTCGTTCGAAGACATTAAGCTTTCTGTTGGTAAAATGGTTGCCTTTAAATCGAAAGATTCTAATTGGTACAGAGGCAGAGTGATGAAGAAAATTTCAGAACAATATAGACTTCATGTTATAGATTACGGACGCATCGAGTTTGTATCTCTGAAAGATATCAGGTAAATATATTGATGTTTTCACATCTTCTTTACTAATATCTATATTTTGCAGAGTTTTAACTATGCCGTTCTTGATATACCATGAGTTAGTAGTTCAAGTTCACGTTAAGAACTGCGCAGGATTGGAAATCAACGATTTAGTCCAATTATCTTCTTTGCATTATAAACAAGATGATTTGCATGGAAAGTTGATGGTAATACAATCAACTTGGAAACCTTTTATCGTGCCTCCAAGTAAATCCATAGCAACTTTGCTTGTAAGCGAACCTGAACAGAAACCTGAAACTGCAATTGTAGAAGCAAATACTAAACCACGAACTGATTCTAACAAGTTTCAAGTTGAATTAAGTCATTTCGATAATCCAAACGAATTTTACTTGCAGTTGATAGATTCTATAGATACAATTAACAAGTTACAAATTAAATTGCAACAAGAAGCTCCCGGTCTGCCCGCTGTTGATAATGTTACTACAGGAATCCTCTGTGCCGCGGTTTACAGTGTTGATCAGCTGTGGTACCGTGCACAGGTTTTAGACGCTGATTCCGATATAACGACTGTAAGATTCATCGATTATGGTAACACAGATGTGTTAAACAACGATTCAACAACTATAAAAATTTTGCCTGCGGAAATGTTAACTTTAGATCAACATGCTAGACGTTGCAGCCTTTACTTAGGGCCTGTGAATGGCGAATGGAGCACTGCGGCATGCGAAAGGTTTGATCTATTGGTCGCTGATAAAGATTTAGAAGTGAATATTGTGCACGAGGATGAAAAGTCAACTTACGTTGATTTGTACGCGGATGGTCAGAACGTTGGCAAGACCTTGTACAAGGAGAATCTGGCAACAAAGTTAGATTTCGAGGCTACGAATACAATCACCGGTTACTTCAGTCACATGAATTCTCCTTCAGAATTCTGGATGCAATTGGAGAGCGCTTGTGGTGATTTAGAATGGATTGCGGATCAATTGGAACATGCTGAAAATTATAAGCCCTTGGAAAATTCTGCTCCCGGCACTTTGTGCGCAGCGATTTTTGCCGACGACGGAAATTGGTACAGAGCAAGAATTCTGTCAAATACAATTGCTGGTATGTTGTTCATATTTTATTAATTGTTTGGTTATTAATACATATATGTTTCTTAGGTATCGAAGTAATCTTCATCGATTACGGAAATTCATGTACATGCACTAGCTTGAAAGAACTTCCTGAAGAACTGGTAATGCTTCCGGCTCTGGCTCAAAAGTGCAGTTTACAGAAACCTCCAGGTATCTTAGAATGGCCGATTGATGCCACCGATAGATTAAACACGATTTCTGCGGACGGCTTGGCGATTTTCAATGTTTATAAATTATCACAAGGAGAAACTTCAATTGTTCAGCTGGTTCTGAACGGCGAAGACATCAGTTTAAAGCTGTTACCTGAATTGAAGGATGTCAAACTGAGTCACGTTATTAGTGTAGATGAATTTTACGTCCAGGAAATTAGAGAAGATATGGAGAAGATGCAAGTAGAATTGCAGAAGGAAGCAGCAAATTACAAAGATTATGTAGGCGATAGTAAAGATGATGTCGTTATAGCGCAATGCGAGAGTACGTTTTTCAGGTGCAAGAAAATCGATGAGAAACAAGCGTTTCTCATCGATGTCGGCATCGTGAAGGATTTCAGTGCACTAAAAGAGTGTCCAGATAAATTTAACACTACGTCAATCGCGCCGTGTGCCGTCAAGTCTAAACTACAACCGCTGCAAGATTATACTTGGAACGAGGAAAGTTTGATCAAATTTAAAGAAATGATTGGGACCACTTTCCAAGCAGAATTTAGAAAAGATTCGCTCATCGTTCGTCTATATTATAAATACTCCGATATACGCTCTCAATTGCCTGCCGTGAAACTCTCTCCAAATTCGGTGCATACTATTCCAGCGAAACTGATTCAGCAAAAAACACCATCCAATGATGAAAAAACTATTCCCTCCACGCAAGATTCGCTTCAAGTAAACGAAAGTAATAATGAAAGTGTTGTTGATTTAGCAACAGAAATTAAGTCTGAACTTATTGAAGAGGTTGAAAGAAAAATAAATGAAATCAGTATTAAAGACGATGCCAAAAATGATGCAACCGATGTCGAACATTCCATTGAAGTTGAGGAGAGCAAGACAAAAGAAGAATGAATAAAATTCAATAACTCCGGTGACATTCAATCATGTTCTTTGTAGTTGTCATGTAGCTTTATCTAGTTTATTTTTATATCTGTTTGTTGATCGTTTAATGTGTTATTATTTAATTATTATTGTGTTAATCAGAAATAAAAATTGTTATTTTATTCTCCTATAAATTTTTATATTTATATATATTTAGTTGCTTTAATATGTATTCTTATTTATACAAAAAATAAAAATTAGTTGCATCTTTGAACTGTCATCTCCTTTTATTAATATATTATTAGTTTACATTCATTCATAATTATTTAATATAGAACATAAACAGCATTTTTAATAGCAATGTTTAATTAAAGCTATTAAATAGTAATACATATTAGTTCCATAATATATGCAAACAGAGGAAACCACATGACTAAACTGTTTTATTGAAAGTTAAATTACATCATTAAATATTAATATATTTATTGACCATTTGGGCCAACCCAAGTCTATCTGCCCAATAATTTATAATAATAAATATGGTTTGCTTATAGAAAAATAAAATAAGATTTTATAGTATATATGTTTATTAGTTTAAAACTTTATTTTCGAATACAATAATTGAGACGAAATAACACAGAGTCAGGTGAAATTTGAACTATTTTACAGAAATGCAATCGTCTACTACATACAACATAGTCAATAAAATAATATCAATTTGAAGTTGGATTTGTCATTTCAAACATACTATATTTTATCACACCAAGAAATCACAGGAATGTTTGTTTTGTATTTCTTTTCTGAAATAAAGCGAATTGGTCCATTATAGTTACCATGGTCAGAATAGGCCTCTAGAGTCATTAGATGCGGGCCACGTCACCACTTAATTAACACGTAGTGGAGAAGATGTACATGTATATAGATAAATGTATGTTTAGAGGTGTCGATTAAATTAAGCGTAATAAAGTTGTCATTGTACATTGGTCGTCCCTTGCTCAAGTCTTAGGCTTGGCCGTCCTGGCTGGCGATGGCGGATTAGAGTACCTACAAGAAAATTGAAAACTGCACCAGCTAGAAAAAGAGAACAAAACAAAACGGGAAATTTAATTATTAATTAACACTGATTCATTCTTTTCTCGGTTTATTCTCCTTCTTCGCCAATCCACTTCTTCTTTTCTCAATTGAGCTCGCAATGTTTTCTAATGTTAATTAACAATTCAACTCGTTCAATACTTACTGATCTACTGCTTGTAGTTCACCTTGTTCCTCCAAGAATTTATTTATATCGATCTGCGTTAGCAACTACAAATAAAACAAACAAGTTATTTTTCGTTTTCCTTTTATAGTGTGGATTTTAAAAGAAATAGCTCCACTATCAATTGCATAAAACAACATGCACTATGTTAAACATGTGGCACAATAGAATTCACACATTAATAGATTGTACGTGGTGGACAAACGTAAATAGATTCATTGAAACGTCATTCGTCATCCATTGTCATCGTAGTATAACTGAACTAAACTGAACCTGATGATAAATGCTACCTACGTGACACCTCGATCTAACATGCAGACGCATTATCAATGCACGTATGCGGCTTATTTCGATGTATCGAACATACATTCAACTATTATTACATACTATTTATAACAAATCGCAGATTGCATTCTTAATGATGTTTCCTTCCAAAACCGTTACAAGAACATGCTATAAAATGTATTTCCGAGCATGACGCAAATTCAACGCGATACTAAAAAATATAATTTAAAATAAAATTCAACCATCCGCAAGTTATATATATTTAAAAAATATTATTTAATATTCTAAACACCAAGACCATTCCTGCAAAGTCGATTTGTTGACTGAAATAATTACTAAATTCTATTTAAAAAAAAGACCTCTCAATCTGCAAGACGGAAGAATAACAGATTCATAGTCCATCAATGATAAAAATTCAATAGTCTGGTATTATCTGAATGCCGCGATTACAGAAAAATGATTTAAAACTAATATAAATATTATTTCAAGCGCAAAGGTTATTTTCCCTTATTACATAGAAAAACACTGTAAACTATATAATGTTTAATTAGAGGTTAATAAAAAAATATAAAGAATTCAAAATAAAAACTAAAGCATCGAATTCATGAGAAATTATATCATACCACTTCCGTTAGTTGACTCACGTAGTTTCTGCAATAAAAATATTCACAGAGTCAAAAAAAAAATGTGAATCCTATAAATACTATCGCGTTACTGCAATAACGGCTAAAATGCAAATTGTTAGAAGCTGAAATCGTAGGCGTAAAACCTTACAGGATAGCAAACATGATCATTTTCATGTTAATATTACTATTATTATAATCTAATAATCTATATATTAAAACAAATTGAATTATTTTCATTTCGACGCGATAACAACATTATTTTACTTTTTAATTGAATGAGAACATAAAGATCTATATCAGTTGTAACAATATTATCTTTCGAAAGTTGTAAATCATTTAATCATACCATGGAGTATTTGTTTGGAACATATATGTACTGGAAAGTAAAGTTTAAAAATTCGATGATTAAATAATTTCACTATGTATAAAATACTCAACAATCAAAATAGCTAAATATAAATTTATAATAATATGATACTTTAATCACGAGTTAATGTATTTTTTTTGTATTACCTATCAATTCAATAGTTTTCTACAACGTTAGAATTATTGAATGTTAAACATACTAAGTGTTTTAAATTATTACACTAAAATTTGTTTGTTTTTACTCGTATAGTGTATAATGTGTACATAATTTTTAAAAATGATGTAGCAGGCGCGCAATCCGGGACTTCTGTTCTCATCGTCACTCGTTATGCGAAACGTAGCTCGTTAAGCGAGTCATTTTTCTTACAATTGCATTTCGCTTAGCTCGTTAAGCGAGGTTCCACTGTATTTATAATCAATATTAAAAAAAAATCATTTAAATGTTAATTGTATGGTAAATTAAAAAAAATATTAAATTATTTTGCTAGTATAATTCAAATTGTATCATTCTGGTGATTCAGTTAATAAATAAGCGAAACTTGTGTTTGATCCAGTTGAACTTTAAAATCTGCTTTTAAAAAAGAACGTGAATGTTTTGACGCTGTCTCATTGATAAACATATGTTTTTTTTAATCTTATTGGAATTCTTAATTTCATATGGAAAAAGATGATGAAAAAAAAGTGAAGCAGCTAAGCAAATAAATGTGATTTGCGTTTACATCCAGTTATTTAATTTTCCTGATGAAACATAAACAGTATCTCGGCATTTATAATTAATCATAATTGCGGGTAAACGGTATCGCGTTTAACTGATAATTATCGTATTCATCGAACTACAAATGAAAATCAATTGACTTTGAAAATAATCATTGTTTTTTTTTTGTAAACATCATACACGAAACCAATTGCAATGTAGTTTTCAGAACACGCTAATTGTATTCGCAAACAAAAATCCATTTATGGACCTCACTTGATACTTGTTTACTCGAAATAAATACACAATTTTTTGGATGTCAGCTCCTGGAAACTGTTGTAACCAGCGCTATGCAAATATTGTCATAGGTGTATAACCTTCCTATATTGATTGGCTAATATAAACATATATAACCAAAAACCGTATATTTTCCTGCAAAAGTTTATTGGATTTTTAACGAGTATTTACTAGTTTATTGATTGCCATATGCAGTATTTAATCATGCATATTAATAATGTTTGCAGTTGATAAGATAAAGCTGAATTATAATTGCTGGATTTGCCCTTTTTGGTGCCATGGAAGATTTTCAATTGCTATACTAGAGAGAATCATGGAATGAATGAATGCTTTGTAAATGATAAGCAATAATAAAACATATCACCTTGGAGGGTTGCAAAAACCTCTGCGGTATCCTTGACGTGCTTTGTCCATTATTTGGTGGACCAAATCCTAGTCCCAGAAGGACAGCCTCTGGATCAGGCTTCCTGAATTCCAGGACACTCTCCACACTCGAGCAGTGGCTGCAATCGTCTGATTGCACGGAAGCATCCCTGCCCAGTAGCCTCAAGGAAGGCCTTGGCGAGTTCGGACCATAGCCCAAATTTCCTTGAGGACCAAGGTTTTGCTGCTGGGTCTTAGGGCCCGGCTGGGGCAACGTGTCCAACCACTGTTGTACGGTTATTGGGCTCTTCCGCATTTTGTCCGCATTAATCACTTACGTCGTTCTATTCATCGCAGCTCATACTGAACTGGCTCTGTTTTCTGTTTTGTAAAACGAAAGCAACAAGTTGTTTTGACGTAACGCATTTGTGACATAATTCCCATTGTGTAAATCTGCCAGCATTGGGATCGAGAAACTCAAAAATCGTTAAAACCAATGACACACTTTAGACCACAGTTGTCTTGTGTGGTTAATAGTAAAATTACATTATAGCACTATTGGAATATCAATTATTCTAATTAGAGTCTCATTCATTAAATTACATGAAACTTATGCAACCAAACATACGCTGTACCCCCTACATCAGGTATTTTTACCTTTAATATATTTACAACACAGTGTAGGAGGTGTATTTAAAAATAAATGATTTAATGTATTTCTAATTATATATATATATTCATACCAAAAACATTTATAGTATCACATTTATGATTATGTAAGAAAGTTACCAAATTTTATTAAGAAATTTCAACACAATTTATATAATTTACACCAAAATACAATTAAATATTGTACCAATTTGTTTATTACTTAATTGTTGTGTAAATATTAAAATATTAGTTGAAAACTTTAATTATATAAGATTGGTGGATGTTAGTTACACAACCTCAATTATATTATTTACATTTACCAAAACAAGTAACTCACAGAAAATAATGATTACATGTTATAGAAAACAATATTCTTAAATAAATTTGCTTTTAGCAAATAATAATATCATTTTGGGGAATGCAATTAAGGATATTGTTTTGACGTTCATTCAATGCCATTTAACTGACAGTTCGCGACAGCTAGTGCTAGTGACAGTGACAGATAAAATTTATAGTGTTTGTGATGATGTATCAACGAATTTATCGTCCAGATTCGGAATCGCGAAAAAAACAAATAGATACTTTAAAAATATACAATGCAAAGTAAGTTTTATCTAGCTTTCTAATACAATTGATTAATCTGAATTCAGTGTTTTGGAAATACAAGAAGGCAGCGAGTACCAGGTACTATTCAAATCAGGGAAAAAGGACTTCATCATTCATGTATCATTGAGCAATGATTTTCCCAGAGACAAACCGAAGCTGAAAATATCTCCAAATATCTGTCACACATGGGTGAATGCAGATGGTGAAATCACTTCTGCTCCAGGAATCTTAAATGTAAATATTCCATGTAACTGTTTGGATCATTATTAAAACTTCTTGTTTTCAGTTTACTAACCACTTAGATTTGGGACAAGTTGTTCAAGTTATCATTAGTGAATTTGTGAGGACTCCACCACCATTACTCGAAAGTATAAATGCATCTCCATGTAACAGAGGTTATTATTAAAAAATGTGATCAATGCAGTATTTTAATTTTATAATTGTAGAAGCTGATATTGGGAGAATAAGTCCAAATGTGTTTCCACAAAGTTTCTCCCCACCTGCGGCTACAAATAAATCTAGGAATTACCAAAACAGTGTGTTCCATGAGCTATCCACTATGCCATTGGATGAATTAGTTTTCTTAAATGAATGTTCAGAGAGGCAAGAGGAGTTTCTAGATAATTTACCACAAAGCAAAGAGGTTAACAAACAAGCAGATGATTTAATTAACTTGATAGAGGAGACAGCAGATAATAATTTGACTAAGCGGGACCAGCTTGAAGGATTGCAGAAAGCAATTCATGAAAGATTAGAATCTGTTACAAAACTGGTGCTGGAAACAGAACAGTTAAATATAAAGTATCAAAATTTATCAGATAGGTTTTCACCTAAAAATATTAAAGTAAGTTTTTAATATTAATGCAGTTTATAAGTTTTTTTTATATGCTTATTGTGTACAGAATCAAATTGCGACAGCTGCTAAAACCGCTGACAATCAAAGTGAGCATTTGTGCCAGCAATTTTTGGATGGCTCAATGGATGTTGATAAATTCGTTTTGGAGTTCATGCAGAAAAGAACTTTAGCTCAAATGCGTAAAACCAAGGAGGAAAAACTTTCTCAGCAATTGATGATATTAGAGAGGGCGGGATTCTAGATCATTCTTCATATTAAATTATGTCTATGGCTGTATTATTTTAGTGATTTTATTTATTATATTATTTTTGTATATATATAATATACAATACTTTCTTAAGTATTTATTGTATTTTATTACTTTTCCTTCAGTATATGAAACTGCATTCTGATACAACAAATATAATGTTAATTCATTAATATTTCTTGAAATAATCATTATTCAGGAAACATGCTATGATTTTTGAGAAGGTTCTTAGGAAAATTATACCAATATTGCTTTATTATGATGTTTTAATAATAATAATTCAATTATAATAATGAAGTACTTTGGAACCTCGTTTAACGAGTTTAAACCGTTCCAAAATTTCCTGATTTTTACTCGTATAGTGAAACATATTCAAAAATACACTTAATATGATGTTTTAAAAATGATGTAGCAGACTTCTCTTCGTCACTTTTTATGCGAAACGTCACTCGTTAAGCGAGTCATTTTTCTCGTTATGCGAGTTTCCACTGTAATTTCCAATTACTTAAAAAAATAATTTTGGTATAAGTCAATTATTTAGTAATTTTTATATAAATTTATGTAGAATAAAAAAAATATGGAGAAAGATTGCAAATGTTTGTTAAATAACTTTTATTTAAAAAATACTTCAATATTTACGAAAAAAGTAATCCTAAAATAAATTAAAATTATATAAAAATGAATACTTTCAAAATACTTAGATGAATGTTGATTTAATTTGTTCATGTAACAATATCTAGATATTTGAACATTTATACTTAAATATTATTAAAGGTTTCATCTTGTATATACTTTACAAACTACTTATAATATCAATACTATAAACTATGTGCTACAATCAATATTCAGCTGCATTTAAAAAATGTAAACATTCATAAAGTGCTTTTTGCTAAAATCGATATCCCTGAGTAGACTTGCTTAGTTTGTAGCAAAGTGTTTAATTTATTCTTAATCAGCCTAAAAAATGAATCTGAACACAAAGGGGTACAAACAAAAATAAATAATGTACATACTAAATACTAAAATATAAAATAACTAAATGCTATGATCGTATAGGAACCATGCTTTTCTAGTTGATATTTGTTTGTTTACTTATTTACATTAACCGGCTGATGAAAATGAATGAATAAACAAATAAATAATAAACAAAACAGGCCTATACATATGAAGTAGATTCGTTGTTTGGTAAACATAATTGAAAGAAAAACACTTTCAATTATATATAAATAATTACTAGCTAACTTAAATGAAAACTAAACTAAATGGATACAATTCTTATTTTTTAACGTAAATGCTGGTGTTGTTTTGTTACACTTCGACACTTCAACACTACAGAAAAAAAATATCGCCCGTAAAATCGTTATATCATAATAATAGCAATAAAAAATAATAAATTCGCACCAGAATCAAAATAATAATATTGTAATAAATTTCTTTCCAAATAAATTAAATTTAGATACACAAAGAAATGCGGAAAAAGGTCGATCTTCTTGTTTCTTTTCTTTTTCATTTCTAAATAAATAATTCTTTAAAATTTACATAAAATTAAACAAATTTATAATTTGCAAAAATAAATTTAAAAAAAAAGAGAGTAATTTAAAATTGTTTCAGGAAACAATGAAATACAAATAAAAAATGGTGTCGTGCTACGCTCCAATGTCATAAAATTGAATAACTAAAATAGAATAAAGAAAATGTAATATCTAGAACTAGAGTGTATGTTATGTTTTGTTGAATTTTTCGCTCGCGAGTTCATAAAACATTCTTGGAATCGATTTTATTCAATTCGGTTTGGATAAAATCATTTCCTCACAGCACGATATGTAAATTCGATCGAGTAATTTCTTAATATTAACAGAAGAGAAAACGCAAAATCTATACTAAAATCTTAAAATTTTGGTGTTTCCTATTCAAAAGGTAATTTTAGTATAGACTTTTTAGTTTGTCGGCGTATATAATATATAGGTTTGCGTGAAGTGGTCGTAATGTAAATGATATGTGATGTTGGGAATACAATTGTCGTGGCGCTATTCGATTCTCAGCTGTGCCATGCCTTCAAGTTGTGTCTCCACTTGATGATCCTCGGAGACGACTCCATTTCCATTTCCGTTGCTGTTGTTCTCATCTTTGATTTGTTGTTCGGTTCGGTTTGGACAATCGGCGATTAGGTGATCCTCGCTCTTGCAATTGTGGCAACGCTTAGGTTGTGGTCCCAGCCCACATTTTGCCGCTATGTGATTGGCGAACTCGCCGCAATTGTAACACCTATAACATTCAACGTTTGTTATCGTCCCTCCGCCCATGCACATTTATATTATACTCAAAACGCGCAACAAATATTTTAAATATATCCTCTGGTTAATTTTAATCTTACCTGATTTTACGGAAGCGTTTTTTTGTCGTCGGTCTTCGATGCGATCCTCGACAATCGGAGCTCTGAGGTCCTGCTACTTTAGTCGCTTCGAGACCTTTATCCGATACTTGACATTCGAACTCGACTTCCTCTTCATCACCCAACGATCTGAAGCCGGTCATTTGGATCACACTCTGAAGTTAATACAAATAATACCAGATGTTTTAAAAAATGAACCATACATTAATCTCATAATAACATTTGTAATTATACCATCTTCTTCATTATAAAACCTATAGACTTTTATTTATGCTTTAAATAAGTATGTATATATTGAAATATTTAAAAATATAATATATCATGTTTAAATTTATTGATATGTATATATGTGTTGATATTAAAATTAATATTAGTTTCAAAACCGGAAGATCAAAGAAAATTAAGGATTCAATATACACATTTTGGACTCGTTTCTTCAAATCAAAAGTTTAACTTTAAATAATCATCATCATCAAATATTAACATAATTCGTTAAATATTTATTTTCAATACGCTGATATCAGCAGAAAACTATGAATATTTCTATTTTCTAAATGACAAATATATCGAGAAACTTGCATGTACATAACACAACAATTCATAAAAATACAGGACATTTAATATTTTTGCTAATACATTGACGTGTATACACATAAATTCGCAATAATAATTATACAGCAATACTTCACATTTTGGCTTTGAAACAGTACGGGAATTTATGAGACCGGTTACACGCACTATGCGAAATATTTGAAAAAGTCCGAAAACACCATTCATTTAATTTATTTAATTTGTATCTTGTATCAAATACGAATAATAAGTTTGATTAATTAATTGAAACAAAAACTTAGAGTGATTTTTTTTTAATGTAGGCATTATATTAAGTCATAATATTAAAATAGTTTCTATTAATCTTTCATGTGTGAGCTGCATATGTTGAACAGTAATAAATAATAATTATTGTTTTAACATACAAGATATTAAAGTCGGAATGTAAATTTATTGCTTTTTTTCTATATTCATCACATGAAATTAATCTTTCATAATATTTGATGTTTTTGTCCGCTGTGTGTGAGTTAACACTTTGAAATGAAATCGTTGTTCTTGGTTTAAGATTACCAAGTAGCTCGATAAAAAAAACACTTGAAATTTGTTTTATAAGCATTCAAAAAGTGTGCGTTTTTAATAGTGTTGCTGGTATCTGGTTATAATTATGCAATATTTGTGTGGATATTAATTCCTCGCGCCGTGCGCATCGCCCCTCTATTTATATTCGTGTTCTTTTTATGCTGTTGCCCTCGCACAAACAAGTTTATGTATTTATGTTATATAATTATTTTCGTTTTTTTTTTAAGTAGGGGATGTTATGGAACGTAGGGGCGCGCAGGTAGCACGTTTTATATCCATATTGACATGTGCACATTAGAGGCCGCAACCACCCCATGCCTATCCGTGTTACTTATTTTTTACGAATACCTTTTTACCGATGGTAATAAACGACCAACAGGTATTAGAATTACTCCCATTGTCGGGGAGCAACAAGTTGTCGAGGATCGTTTATTATTCAAAGGGCTAACTAGCTTCATAGTTTCGACAATTTTCGGGTGCGCACAAAACGACTAGTCTGTAACGCGAGATTCCATCGATATATTTGCAAAGCAAATAATAATAATAAAAAAAAGAACGACTTTGATTGACAATGCGAGATGAATTTGAATAGTTTCTAATTCTAACGGTCAGTTCGCATTATAATTTCCTCTTTTTTAGTTTCATTCAGAATAGTTGCTCTCTTTTGTGAGGCGTTTCTTCAAAACTTTAACTTTTTATAATCAGCGACTATTGTTGCGCTTTCATGTATCATCAAATATTCATAACTAGGTGTAAATTTTATTTCAATTGCCTTTGCATTTCAACTGTTTCCAACGACATTCGCATTTCAAAAATTCTTTAATATTTCCATCTTTTTTTTACTGTTCCAAATATTAATTTATTTATGAGCATTCAAATATTATGTTTTTTTTTGTTACCTGGTGCACGAAAACGTCTTGCCCTCCGTCGTTTGGTGTTATGAAACCCCATCCTTTGGCCACGTTGAACCACTTGCATTTTCCTAGGCGAACACCGAAGCTTGCTTCAGAACCGCCCTGACTCGCGCTTCCTCCCTCCGAACCTGTAACATTAATAAATAAGATAATTTTTGTTTTCTCACTTTACGCATTTTCACTTCATTAAAATTTTTGACGCAAATTACAATGGAATCTCACTTAACGAGCATAATCCGTGACAAAATTTCCGGATTTTTATTCGTATAGTGAAACAATTTTTCCCATATAAACTAATTTAATATACGATAATGCGTTCCATTTTGTGAGTCATTTTTCTTACAATTTATGTTGCTCGTTAAGCGAGGTATAACGTTTTATAAGATTCACTACTGTATGTGGAAATTATTTTAGAAATAGTTTTGTACTAAGAAAGAGAAAATATACAAACTTAATTTAAACTAAAATAAACTCAATTAGTTTATTGATTGAATAAAAGTTTTTACCAATAAACAATACACAAATGAAAATATGAAATGTAGATAATTAATATTGTATAATATAATTATATAACTTTCTGTAATAGTTTTATACTAAGATAGATTTAATTAGTTTATTAGAGAGAACGATAGTTAACACCAAAAAAAATATATTCAATTATATAAATCTTTAACAAATTACTACAATCTAATGTAATAGTTTTTTTTTAATCTATGAACACAAATTTAATTTTGAAAATATATGTTTTTAAGTTTGTTAATACAATCTAAAGCTTTTTTCTACTTAATTTAGTTACGTTAAACTTTAAACATAGAATTTTCATGTTCTCAACGAACCAAAGTGTACGTGTTTAAATTGAACGCATATACGCTTTTCTTTCCTTTCTTAAGCTTATATAGTTTTTTTTCTAGGTAGTCGACTCGAGCACAATAATCAGGTACTAGAATAGTTTTGTGTCCGGTCCCAAGGAGCAACCCTTAACCGTAATTCCATCCCCAAACGGGCCATTGTGCATGGGAACATAGAAAAGAAGACTGCCTGCAATTGCAACTTTCTAATACAAAGCCGAACCGGGCTTGCATTGCAGCCTTTCAATTCCCAACGAATTTTTATTTTCATAACGATAAAAAAAAATATTGTACAATCTTTCAAAGATTTTTAAAATTTGTTATTCTAATAATAAACTAATTATGTTATTGTTAATACTTTAAGAATTATTTCTTAGAATTGATTGATCAATAAATTTAAATATTTAATCGTTAAAAAGTATAAATAATGTTTACCTTGCTTGTTAGTAGATTTTCAAAGTTATTATTAATAGTTATTATTATTAATAGTGTTTAATTTGATAACTATGCTTAATTTAATGAAGAGCACGTGTTTATTTTGTGCATATGTGTAAATGTACGTATATTTTGTAGGAACAATGTAATCAAGAGAAAGTGGTTTTATAGTATTTAACTTTTGAAAATAGGTCAATAAATTATGAAACTGCGTGGCGCAGCGCTATTTACCTTTTCCGTTTTCAAAATCGGTGCTCTCCATTGAGCAGAAACCTCTTCGGATGACACGACAAGACGATAAAACACAAACAGGAGTATGTTGATCCACGGTGGGCCGCGATGAATATCGGTGATTCGGATTCGGTGATTTAACCGTCAAATAGCTGCTATTCGGTTGACTTCAAACGACATGATAGTTGTTGGAGCGCGAGGCATGCCCTAGTAGCGACTAGTGCGTTTTAACTGAACTCTAGGATCTAAAAAGGCCGAAGAACGAGTGGCCTGGCACCAAACGAAGGGTCTCCTATACCCTACTATGCCCGAACTAGACCTAACCGAGGTTTATCATAAAGAGCATTTTTGTCCGGAAGAAATGACGATGTCGACACGAGCTATCATAGTAAAGAACCATTCATGAAATTCCTCACCAGTTCACACACATATATCACGCATTCCGTATCTCAACAGTACATATGCGTGTGTGCCATGTATTCAGGTTTTTTTTTCTTAAATTTTAGGATAAAGAAATCACAAAAATATGACAGAATAAAAATCTCAATTGTATAAACATCTCTTAATAATCATTCAATGACAACATAACAATATAATAAACAAAAATGTGTTTGATGATAAAGATTACATTGTTTGATCATAATTTATCAAGATGAATTAAACAAATTGCCTTAAAAGCATCTATTAATAACCTTTGTAGATAACTATATCTAAAATTGAATAATACTATAAAAATCTATATATAGTCCAAATTTATTTGTGATTAGATTCACTAAATATACACATAAGATTAATATTTATTTTAAATGTATTGTTGATAGAAATATTTCTTATAATAATTTACGATTATTCGAGAACTTTAAAGCACGTATAATTGAAAAACACTATTAACCGCATTTTTGAATTATCCAATTATCAAACATCGCTTTTATTTGCTTTAAAAACTTCATATATATGTGTTGATATACAAAAACACATTTTTAATAATTTTCGAAGATAATTTGTAATTTTTTTATTGTTTTCCTTGCAAAATTAAGATTGTAAACATATATATATTTACCAAATTATTTTCTAAGATTCTAATATTCTAATATTTAGCAAATTACTATAATCTTATGCTACAAACATTTGAAAATATAGATTTTTTAGTTTCTTACAATCTAATGCTTGTCGATATTGTAGATATAAATATTTCTTATAATAATTTACAATTTGTGTAATTCCAATTTCAATCACAGTAAAACGCCGATTATCCGTAGTAATTCTTGAACGTTAAAGTACGGATAATTGAAAAACACGGTTAATACAAACATATCTTTTATTTGCTTTAAAAACTTAATATCATGTATTATAAATACACTTTTTGAATAATTTTAAAAGGTAATTTATATTTTTTATTCTTTGCACAATTATTTACTAAATGGCAGATTTGCAGAGACAATTGGATTGTTTACTTTATATTATAAGTAAACACTAAGACGTAATCCGAACTATTGTAAATTGAGACCCGGATAATTGGCAATTTACTGTACAAACATTTAATCAAATATTCTTAAGGTTGATGTCAACATATTTATACTATTATTATTACAACAACCTCAAAATTACATAAAAATTTAATACAATTAAAATCCTAATGATAATATAATAATCAATTAATACCTATTGAGTATTAAATTTAATAATAGACAAAAAAACAAGACGTAAATCTTTTTATTTCGGTTTATTATTTGAAAATTGTTATGAATGAATAATTATAGTGATTACAGAATTTTCGCTTTATTAGTTCCGATTGTTGCATAGGGCATAATAGATTTTCTATTAATCTCTTTCTTGTAGACCCTAGCCGCTTTTCTTTTCTAGTTCAATTCGAAATCGAGGCCAACTTATTGTAATTAATTTAAATGGGGTATTAGATTACAACTATTCATTAAATAGTTTGAATTCATTGAATTAAATAAATATTCAATTTGGTACCAACTACTTATTTCATTTACATACTTTATTATTATATTATTTTATTATCGATGTTCTAAATCTCATCAAAACACACAAACAAGTTTTAATTAATTTTATTAAATATACAAACTAAATAATTTATCTTACTACTTTTAATGAATCTACAAAACATTGCCTAATATTTATATATGTTCATCATTGAAGTTTTAATTGAACAAACAACAATGGTGATACAATAATTTTCGATTCAAAGAAGAATTCAATAATTACATTAAAATAATTATTAGAAAAAATAAATCCAAACTCTTGATTTATTTTGATAAATAAAATAAATATTATAAAATAATATACAAAATTGTCTTCATTCTTTAAAAATATTTTTGTCTACCAATGCATTTTAGTTAGATGTATCAATTAATTTCATTAATTTCTCTTCATCTAAACTTTAGATTCTAAAGTCACTTTTTATTTCCGAAATACAGTAGAACCTGTTTTTCTGTGGTCTTTTTTTTACGTTTTTTTATGCGGTATATGAATTCCAACGGAGTTGGCACAATTGTAATGTTTTCTATCTGTGTACATATGTACAGCCTGTTTAAACGATTCTGTAAGTCGATTTTAAACCAATTCATCATAAGAAGATGCGCGTTTTGGATTAACACAAGTAGCAGTGGATTATGTATGTGCATTTTGAAAATTTATTCATATGTACAATGAGAAATTAAATGTTTTTAAAATGTTTAAATTAATTATTTATTTTCTTTGAATGCACTTTCTCATGTATTTCATGTATTTTCTAAGTGCGATTTTTTAATGCGGTCTCTATCTACCGCACAAAAACAGGTTTTACTGTAGTTCTTAATCTAATTAGATTGTCTTATATATAGAACCGAGTTATAGGAACTGCATTATGTGAGTACAGCCTTATAATGCTGTTCCTCTTTATAAGAGTACAGCGTTATTTACGACTGTATTATATTACAATTGATAATAACAGTATAGTATAATAATAATTATTGTGTGCAAATTAAATTAACTATGAAACAATATTTACTTATTATTCGTTGCTTCTATTGATCTTTACTTATTTAATGCAATTGTTAAAATAATGCTTTTATCGATTTCGCGAAATATGTGCGTAATTTTTTTTTGCACCGAAAAAGCGTCGGCGATGCGTGCGGGTGACGTCAACGACGACGCCGATATTTGATTGGTTGTTGCTTAGAGACGCCCTCGCGGCGCAATAATGGCGCTGCGCGTGCACTCCGCGACCGCTCAAACCATACATCCATACCATCATTTTTATTACATAACTTCATTATTTGTTTAAACATTGCACTGGATTTCTTATATGAAATACTTATTATCTCGTATCAATCAGCGAAAATGTATCAGTCTTATTATACTATGTTTCGCAGAGTGATGTTAATTAACGTAAATTTCACATGCACAGTTTTAGTGACGATTATACGAGAGTAATTATATAATGATATTGAGAAAAAAAATCACTGATAGTGACATCTGTAATGTAAATTTAGCACTTCAAAATATCAACCTACATGGAAATATTATTTATTTTAATCGGATGATATTTTTTCATTAACTTGTATTGTATTCTACAAATTCACTCAAACACTAATTGGATCGTTTCTTAGCTTTTTAAGAATGATTGTTCTTTTCATAAATAAAAAATAAAAAAACGAGGATATAAACCTTGAAATAAAATGTTCTTAGAACATTTATTGGGTAATTTGTAACTTCTATTACATATATTTAACCCAAAACTTACTGCGGACCGAAAAATATCCAACTTTTCTTACGTGAATCTGTAATAATACTATTCAAAAAAAAATTGTAAAAAAAACTCTACATGTTTCGCTGAGCGGTTAGAGTTATAGACGATTACTTAATAAAGTAGTTTATATCACGAATTTTAATTCAGAAATATTATAGATATAAGTTAAAAAATATAGTATTGTTATTTATCCGCAAAGAACAAAATCATTCTAAAATATAAAGAATATAAAGTTTTTCATAATTTTGTTGATATTTAATTAATAAAAACTATTATCATAAGATTTACAAACATTAATTGATGGCTATGTTTTGTTGTTGTTTATTATTTTGTTGGGATTTAAATGAAATATTCATAAAGGCAAAATATCCGTGTTAATTCGGGAACATTAAAGCACGGATAATTGAAAAACACCGTTAATACAAATTTTTAATGATTTTAAAAGGTAATTATTATAATAATAACTTGTTAAAATTCATTATAGTAATTTATTGCATATGCAGAGGACTTCAGTCCATTAAAAATAATAAAATTGTTATTTGAAATTACTAATTAGGTAAACAATAGCATATTTTCTGTATTTGATATGTTTTCTATTATTTCTAGATTTAATTATTACATTACAATTTGCTTATTTGACTAATATTTAAAACGTCTAATAATATAATAACATTTATTTCACAAGTCATGTAAAACTTATTCCAATTAGTAAAAAAACATTGCTAAGTTTTAATAAAGTTGAATTTATATTTATCAATATTTATGAAAGTTATACTGACTGAGTTTTGTAATTAAAGGTGTTTTTCAATTATGAATAGAAAATTTGATGATATTGCATTAGATTTGGATAGGTCAGTATTGTTGACTAATTAGAGTAGAGTGATCTTACCATTGTCTGCTCGAGGCATGTCGATTCCGACGGCGTTCTCTTCTTCGGCTGTGACGACAGTCATTGATGAATCCTCGTTGGAGTTTGAAGTACGGACACAAAAATGTATATTTCACGTTCACGCAGTGAGCGAAAAATGATGAAAGAACGTATGGAACGAAACCGCAAATCTCCGTTTTCCGCTTCCGGCCAGTTTCTGCGACACAAGGTTTACAACGTCGTCCGTTCGGGTCCAAACCAATTGGCGGTAATTAATAACAAAGCAATTATCGCTTAATTAAGGGCGGTCCGTGCGGCCTGTGCCGTGTCCTTTCGGTTTATGTGTGCGAGATTCGAAAACTGCGAAAAATATCCCTGGGCCCGAAGGATCCGAGGGGTCCGATCAGCCAACCAATGCCGCCCCCTCTACAAAAGTTCCGGACGTCCCGCACACCCCAACAAGCCACCCTCTCGAATCGGAAAACGCGCTCACTGATTTATCTCCGTTTTCTCTTTCTACACATACACACACATATTCACATGAACATATACAGACACACACATGTGCAATCACAAGCGAGCTGACTATTTGCACCGCCTGAAAACAAAACCGACAGGAGAGAAAGAAGTTGAAAAGTATTAAATCCAATTTTTTCTCCTGGTTACGTGGATGTGTGCAATAGGAAGAAGAAGAAGAGAAATGGAAGATTGTGTGCGTGCTCGAGAGCAATTTATGATTTCTTTTTTAATTTCGTAGAATTTTGTACACCCTCTGGGTTTCAGATAATATTAGTAAATAAATCGTGACTTTTATCTCGATTTCGATAAGAATCCCCAAAACTACGAGAGCAACAAAACATATTTACATTGTACTTTTCGACTTTACTTACTGTACACGTACTCTATATTCATAACAACATTGTATTATACACGTTTTGACAATGACTTTTATAATTCACAATTAAATGGAAATTTCGACTAAAATCTACAAAGTTAGTTTAATTATACATTGAAATCTTGTGCATTTGTTGATCTAAAAATATATAAATGACAAAATACAGTGGAACCTCGTTTGACGAGGATATTCCGTTCCAGAATTTCCGGATTTTTACTCGTATAGTGAAACAATTTTCCCCATATAAACTCATCTGAAAAGCGATAATGCGTTCCATGGAAAAAAAATATAACTTGGGCTCGCTTTTTTCATATCTATGGTTATTTTTATTCGGAGACTGACAGTGTTATTAAATTTTACACAAAAAAAAATTAAATCACAAATAACATAACTATAATAATGAATAGACACAATACTCTTCTCGTTACTCTTTATGCTGGTTAAGCGAGTTATTTTTACAATTTATTTTACTCGTTAAGCGAGGTGATCGTAAAACGAGGTTCCACTGTACACACAGTTTGCGATTTATATTTGCAACTTCATATATTGCTATATTTGTATGGACCTGCTATGCTTTCATAAATAAATTACAGTAATACCTCGTATAGTGCGGGTAATTGGTTCTGTAAATAATTGTGTACTAAATTTAGTTTTCAAATTTTAAAATCCAGACTGTACGAAAACGCACTATTGGAGGTATCAGTATTAGATCAAATTTAGTTTCAATTCGTATTTATATTTACGTCCGCAATACAGATTTATAAAAAAATAATAAGCATTATTGAAAAAAATAGGTAAATTATTTATAATAAATAATGTACTTGGGAAGTAACACGTATAAGATTGAATTATAATATGACAAATCTGGCAGCAGTCCAAAATTTTTCAATTGTTCTTACTAAAATTCATTTCATTATCTACGTGTAAGAAGCTATAAAAATGAATAACTTGCTTTACGTGTAATGAATTTCAATAATAAAACTTAGTTTTTATACCTTTTACTATATAAATTTCCGATATTTCGATTAAAACAATGGAGAAATAAAATTATGAAAGTAAATTTCTTAAAAACACTTATAAAATAATTCGAATAGAAGCAATAAAGAAGATAATGAGGAATTCACGTTGCATAAACATATGTCATAAGATTCAATAACACAGTCTAACATCTTAAATTTATTTGTAAAAAAAAAATTCAAAAAAAGGGGGTTATTGTGAAGTGATATATAAATATAAAATTAAACATTGTTATAAAAAAAGAACAATATTATTCTGTCATATCAATAATAACATGTTTGAAATGAGTCAAAATTCCTAATCTGTATAAGTAAATATTATATTTCAGATTATACATACCTCGAGTGTAGCAGTCATTTTGAATGATTCATTAATAAATTCTTGGTGGAAGTTTTTGAAAACAAGAACAAATATTTTTGTCAATTGTAATTGGATGATCCAGTAGAGAAAATACTTCAAATCATTGTATATTCTATTTTGTGTATGTTTAGATAGCAAATAAAACCACCGTTTCTACAGCATTTATATTAACTTCAGTTTGAAGACGACTTCGTATCGATTTTTGCAGCTATTGGAAGTTTTTGTAGTTATATTTTTTTTTAAACGCAAACTGCAAATATTTAAAATCGTCGATCATTATTTTTCATAAACGTTTCAAAATCCATTGTTAATTTCTTATCTAATCACTAGGAAATATATACAATGTTAAATCACGTATATTTATTAAACTAATAATCAGTTCTTAGTCTTTTTTGAATGAAATACATACATTCAATTTCCTTAATAAGAAAAAGACTCTTTAAGTTGGATGATAATTATTTGAGTTCGGTGGTAATTGCAAGCCCGACAACCGAAAGACAACCGTCTAATGAAATCCCGACTATATCGAAATCCCGACAGTGTCTTTTATTATTATAATTTCTACAATAACATTCGATCGTCGGGATTATGGTAGTCGGGATTTTGACATAGTCGGGATTTAGATACAGTCGGGATTTCGGTTGTCGGGCTTGCGATATAGACCCATTTGAGTTATATTCTGATTGCCAATTTACACTCCATTTTTTTTTATGACGTCGTCAGTGTAACAAATTATGTGCATGTAGAAAAAAAAATGGCGCGACTAGAATTAGGGTGGACGTTAGTCTGAAGGGCACTTTTCGGGAATAATGAGCACTCGTGGAGTGGCTGTGCTAACAATGCTCTGTCAATCAAAGTTCTATATAAATCAGGGGGTGCGTAAATCTTGCACAAAAGCCATTTGCCGTTCAAATTGGCACCATGAGAAATATATTATCGTTTACGTAATTTCGAGAATGCTCCTCATTATAACAGTAAGTTGAAGTTCAAAATATTTTAACAATTATATACAAATATACATAGCTTTATATTAGCATTTCAGATGAACGATGATTTATACTATTATTCGTGTATGGTTATTTTTCTGTTACTTTTATAATAATTTTAAAGGTATAGAATACAATGACTTTTATAATTCTCAATTAAATAGATTTTGACCAAAAACTACATAGTTAGTTTAATTATACATTGAAATCTTGTGCATTACAAAATACACACATTTTGTGTTTCATATTTGCAACTCAATATATTGCTCTATTTTTATACACGTGTTATGCCTTCATAAATAAATTACAAAAATACCTCGCATAGTGCTGGTAATTGGTTCTGTAATACCGGACTAAATGTATACAAAAATAAACCGCACAAAAAGAGTCTTGTAACTGTGTAAAGGTAAAAGAACGATTATTTTTGTACAAAAAAATAATTTTGTGTACTAAATTTAACATGTTTTGTAATTTTAAAATCGGACTTCAGTGAAATAAGTTTCAATTTGTATTTATATTTACATCCACAATACAGATTTATAAAAAAAAATATGATATGGTTATTTTCTGTTACTTTTATAATAATTTTAAAGGTATAGAACAAAATAACTCTCAGTATACTAAAATAAAGTTCTTGAATTTACGCATATTATAACACTAAAAAAAATATCAAACTCTTAACCATAAAATTACTTATTACAAGCTACATTACTACTAAATGAAACTTAGCGCATATTCTCAACCAAAAATAAATGATGGCAAAGCAAAGTGGTAACGCTTCTTTTGTGATAGTTGCAATTATTGATGTTGAAAGTATTAAATTTAGTGAATTCAATAAAACAAACAAAAAAAATACAACTAATTATTAATGCTGTATTCAAAACTGTCAAACACAAAAGAAAATTAAAGTCATTTGAAAAGGTTTTCAAATCACAAGACTTGAGTGTAATATAATTTAATTTAATTATAATTAATCAGTTTATTCCTTCTATTAAAGTTGGTTGAATTTAGTTTATTAATTACGTACGTATTTTTCTATAGATTTAGTAAATAAACATAAGTAGAAAAGTATACATATGTTATTCGATAAATACGAATCCACCAAATATTATTTTTATTTCGATGCTGAATGTCGAGATGGGGGCAAGTATATGTCATAATCATCTGTGACAGATAGTTTGTGACATATCTGAGAGTGATCCGCCCGATCCGGTTCAGAAAAGCGATCGGTCATATTTTTGTGAATGGTCCCTTTTGTGCATTATGCAAAAACCCTATATGAAAAATACAAAAGTGCACGCGCCCCGCATGCGACATTATGCGAACGATGATTTGCACATCAACACACTCGACATCCTTACATACAAGAAAGAAAGGAAAGAAAACATCGCATCGATCTGCGAATAGATATTTTATTGACATCATGATCAGTAGTACAATTGATATGTTTAACATGTTAATACGTTGGTTACAATCAAAAAAACATTAAATTTGAATATTTAATTCAGATATTTTATTAAATAGAAAATTATTGATTTACACATCTACATCATTACATTTATATATACACTGAAGATCTTTGTATAATATAATGATTGACGTACACATCGCATTGTTTGCATATTAATACAATCAGCACCTTCAGCTTTTACATTTATTTCATATTCATTCGAACAATTCGACTCAGGTCACCTTTACGATGAGCAAGAAAACGTGTCCTCCAGTAACCCTAAATAACAATGTTTTACCACAGGAGGATCATGTAAAATACCTTGGCATGCATCTGGATAGAAGACTCACTTGGAAGAACCATACATGGACAAAGAG